GCTTGGGGACAAGCAAACGGTTAAGTGTGGGGGAATTTGATGACTTGATATATACACATGTTTTTATCCACCATTACTGTACCGTGTGAGTCACATCTCTCGTGTTTTAGGCCGATTTCACGCTAGGTTGTTCTTGTTTGTGATATTTCAGGTCCTAGTACGTGAAAGATGGTTTGGGCACGAGTTGGGCACGAGTTCGGGGTTGATTGGACGAAGTTGGGACGTTTGACGAAAAGTTGGAAATTCCACACGGGCAGACCTAAATTCCACACGGCTGTGTGACTTGGCCGTGTGGAATTCTATGACGCGGGAAAGCCACACTGACCGTGTATGGGACCCCTTGTGGCCGTGTGGAAAGTCTAGGGAGCTCACACGGCCGTGTGCCTCTGGCAGTGCAGCGTGCCTGAAGTCCACTAATCGAAACGCGGCGTTTTCACATCCACACGGGCAGACTGGAAAGCCACACGGTTGTGTGGCCTGGCCGTGTGGTCGGGAAATTTTGGGTTTTAACCCAATTTCGAGCCAAAGGAGAGGGGATCGAGTTTTTGAGCGGAAAACATAGCCCTAGAGAGAGAAAGTGCGAAGAACACATCCTAGAGGTGATTTTGGAGCTGGGTTTCATCAATCAAGCTTGGAGATCATCATAGGAGTGAAGATCATCATCCCATAGCAGATTTTCCTCATCTTTATGAGTATGACTACTCTGATTTCTTTTTTCCTCTCTCTCTCTCTCTCTCTCTATGGAGTAGAACCTTCTCTCACTTGGGTATGAAGAACCCTAATTCCATGTGTTAGGGATCTTGATTGTAATGACTTGGGATTGTTATATTGATTGGTTATAATCGATTGATGCATGATTCATTGAGTCAATTGAAGTCTGATCATCTTTTCTTGATTTTTGCTGCAACCTGAGATAGGTAGAATCTGATTAGGTTGTTAGAGCTTCATCAATCGGTAGTGGTAGATTGGTTATACGAGAGTTAATCGATTTACTGCTTTGTACTGGAACCCAATTCCAGTAGTGGAGTTCTGTGTTTACTGCCTCAGCAGTCTATCCCAATGAAGGTTAGTCGCTTGCCGGTTAGCCTGTTTGAGAGGGCTTGGTCAGCTTAAGAGATTCCAAGCTACTGTCGGATATTCCGCAGTTTAATAAACAATTAATCAACCCAGGGTATTTAAAAATGTGACCTAACTAAGGAGCTAGGGGGACTCATTCCCGAGTGACTCTTCCCTTGCTAAAGAACTTTGAACCATTTCCTGCTTTCTTACTGCTTTTAGTTAAAATCACAATCACTCGACTTAGTTTGCTAGATAATAAATAATCACGGAGTAGGCAGTAAATCTAGGCCCCGGGTTGACAAATAGAGCTTGCCACTTACTGCATTTCCAGACTGCGATTGCACTTGGTCGCAGTTTGGTGTTGTGTTTTAGCGTGTCAGGAGGTTGTTCTTCAGGTCGCGATTTCTAGGGTTTCTGTCCTTCTCACCACAATGCAAGAACGAGTAGTATAAGAAGAAGGAAGGAAGGAAAGAAGGAAGACGATGGAAGATTGGGGGGGTTTTTTTTTTTTTGCTCCTCACCTGTACCTATAGGTGTCAAAACAGAACCCGACCCGATTAACCCGCCCGATTAACCCGACCCGCAACCCGACCGCAATCCGAATTGACTAAAAGTCAACAACCCGCAACCTGCTCGACCCACAATCCGATTGACCTGCAACCCAACTAACCCGCAACCCAACTAACCCGCAACCCGATTAACCCGAACCCGATTGACCCGCAACCCGATTAAACCCGAACCCGATTAACCCGAACCTGGTCGATTAGAACCCGATTAACCCGTAACCCGACCTACTCAACCCGAACTTCACCTAATCCACTTGAATAATTATTATATTATACAATACATAGCTTTCAAAATAAATTTTTTCATTCTAACTTAGGTAAAATTTATTTTTCATTTCGTATAGGGGATTTAAAATAATATGAATCTCATGTGATATTATGTATTTTAAGAAAATTACAAAAATTGAAACATGAGCGTCATTTGAACACTAAGTTTTTTAACAAAATTAAAAAAGTAAATATGAAATATAAAATCAACACAATGTCAATATTAATAACGAAGAATTAATAATTGAGATAATGGAAAATATTAATATAATATATAAATTAAAATTTTGGTTAATTTAAATATTCAATAAATTATCAATTACATATAAATAAAGTAAAGTAATGTATTTAGTAATTTGATGCTTTTAAAAGAATAGGAAAATTTTGGTGTATTCAACTTTTTGAGAAGAGAAAGAAGAGGGAAATTTGGTTATTTGAATTTTTGTGAAAAAAAACAAGGGGGAATTTTGATGGTTTTGATTTGTGGGAAGAAAAAGAAGTGAGAAAGTTTGGTTCTTTTAGAAATAAGTATTTTTTTTTCAATAATTTTAGATACGTAGGAAAATTTGGTTATTTGAATTTTTGAGAAAAGCAGCAAGGGGGAATTTTGATGGTTTAGATTTGTGGGAAGAAAAAAAAGTGAGAAAGTTTGGTTCTTTTGATTATGAAAGAGAAATAAGTAGGAAAATTTTGAGTTTTCAACTTTTTGTGTAAGGTAGGAAGAAAAGAAAATTTTGGTTCTTCAATTTTATGGAAGAGAAAGAGGAGAGACATTTGGTTCTTTTAGTTTTATGGAAGAGAAAGAAGTGGGAAAATTGAGTTGCGGGTTTGAAAATTTTGGTTAATCGGGTTGCGGCCTTGCGGGTCACTTTGGAATGGGAAATGAGAGGGAGGTTTGGGTGAGAACTTTGGAATGGAAAATTTATGGGCAGGTGAATATGAGTCAACAATAATACCAAACTTGATACGTAATCTTTGACGGTTCGTTGATTAGGGTATAAAGTATATGGTTAGGGTATAAGGTACAGATGGTTTATGGTGTACATGGTTAGGGTATAAGGTATTGATGATTTTGATGGTTTTAAGTTTTTTATTAACATATTTTCACTTGAAGTCTTTAACGGCAGGATATCCCTTTTCAATTTATGTTTATGGTACGTGGTTAGGGTACAAGGTATATGGTGTAGAGTATAGGATATATAGTTAGGGTATAGCAATTAGCACTTTTTTACCTATGTTTTGAAAATCAAAGTATTAATTTCACTTTAAATTAACTATACTAGCAAAATCACAACTCATAAGGATTATGATTAGGGTATAGGGTATGTGGTTAGTGTATAATGTATTGATGGTTTAGGTATAAAACTCAAAGTTTGGTTAAATCACAACTCACAACAATACCAATGTTTGGTTAAAACTCAAGGTTTAACTAGATTTAACATTCGTCTGCTATCACAATTCACAATTACTAATAATCCTAATAACAATTACCACCCATTATAGTATATATAATCATCGTGACTTCCACATTGCTCGTCCATCCACCTTTCGCATTCTCATTTGTTTTGACATGCATGTTTTGCAGCCTGTATGACTCCAATTCAGCAGCACAAGCGAAGAACACAATTCCACAATAGTCAATCTCGAGTTCTCTATCCTCCATTTTTAGTTCTGGCCAATTACTCTGTTCTGCCTCTTGCGGCACCACTCATATTATCAGTTTCGGCCAATCACTCTGTTCCGACCAATTATTTCATTCATATCCTTGGTAGTACATCCAGTTTCATAGGGTAATTGCAAACACAATGGCAATGAATGCAGTCCCCAAGCTCCCTAACGGGAATGCTCCAATGGCCGACGAGAATGGAAACAGTACTATCCTTGCTGCTGCAACTGTAAAGCGGGCTAATCACCATCAAACACACCAACTCATTCTCTGCTGTCAATTTTAAAGGGAGGAAAGGTGAACTATTAGTAAGGTTGTGATCAGAACAGAGGATGGTAAGATAGGAACCATTATCCCCAATCCGTGGTATTAGTAAGGTTCAGCTATATTATGGTCATTCGTTTTCCCCTGCTACATCTCCAAATTTTATAACAACATCACTATGATCATGATTTATTACCACATCGGAGAGAATGGAAAATTGTGGCTTTTCCCATGCCTATAAAATAAAGTGACTGGCCTGCCTTATAGACATATCAAGGTGTAGTGCTTATAGTGCTAAGTCCTTGTTAGGTTGGGCTGAAAAGAAAGCCCAGTCTTTTAGTTAGATCAAGCTGAGCTTGAGTTTAATTTGTGTTTGAATATGGGCCGAGTTTAATACTTTACTCGTATAGTTGAGTTCAAATCGAGTTCGAATTGACATTTTTTTAGTCGAGTTGAAATTTTTTTAGTCTAGTCGAGTTCGAATTGGCATTTTTTTAGTCGAGTTGAAATTTTTTTAGTCTAGTCGAGCTGAGGCTTTGTTTGTCAAGCTTGAAGCCAGAGCTAGGTAAAAGCTTAGGTCGGTTCGTTTGCAGCCCTATCTGCTTACCACATGCCAAAGACCAGATTTGCATGGTTATACTAAATGAGATATTTTAATACAATTACTATTGAAATAATACTAAAATACCAAATAAACATTTAATGGTGTCTTTTGGTTGCAAATATTGATATCACCATTACTATTAGTTAGTGTAATTTACCAATTACGAGTAATTACATAACAAGTTTGCAAGTCATAAAAATTGATTCAACATTCTGACTAGTATTTTTTTTGATTAAGTATATATACGAGGTAGTAAGAAATTTGTTAACAATTGAGAAAAATATTTTAAATTAGTGTAATAAAATCTGTAAGTTGGTAAGGAGTAAGTTACTCGATGCGCTAACCCGAACAACCCGCAACCTGATCCGCCCGACCCAAAACCCGATGAACCTGAACCCGATTTGCCCGCAACCCGATTGAACCCGAATCCGTTGAACCCGCAACCCGACTAACCCGCAACCCGTTTGAACCCGAACCCAATGAACCCGAACCCGACTAACCCGCAACTCGATTGAACCCAGCCCGAACCAGCCCGATTGACACCTATACATGTACCTCCCCTGTACGCTCTACTGTCCACCGACTCTCCTTGCACGCTCTGCTGGAGTGAAGAAATGGAGGAGGAAGAAACGCACGACAAGTGGAAAGAAGAAGGGGAATCAGCTTCTTCAAAGTAAAAAATAATAATTAAAGCAAAGTAAAAAATAATGGGCTCCGTCCTTTTCCGGGTCGGGTGCTTTGCTGGCTCGGGTATTCAGGCTGACTCAGCCTTTCTGTCGGCCCAGTCAGAGTTTTCGTTTGCCACATCATCAAAAATTTGACGTCATTAACGGAGTCTGACGGCGAGTGGCTGCGGTGAAATGTTTCATAAAGTGAGTGACCAATAAGCAAGGTTTGTAATTCGGGTGGCAAACGTGAAATATTTATGTAATTTGAGTGACCAATCGTATAATTCACCCTCAATCTTTTCAATTGTGGTGATTAACTTTCATATAAGCTTAAATTTTATTTACATTGCAACTTTTTCCGCTAACATAATAATATATTTAGAGAGTCAAATAAAAAAAAAATGGTAGTGTATAAAAAAATTGAACTATTAACAAAATGAACTCTCACAAATAAAAAAGCTGTAAAAAAGCACTGTTATCAAAACCGGGCCAGATCGGACGGACCGACCGCGGTAACCCGGATCCGCCCAGCTTTCCGGTTTCGAATGGCTAAAAACGCAAAGGAAATTGTCGGCCCGGTATCGACTGTCCAACCGACTAACCGGTAAACCCGGATGACCCGTATCGGCGGTTATGGTCCCCGCTGACCTTCCACTTTTTTTTTCTCCGTTGAATGACCTTCCATTTCTTATTCTTTCTATTTATTGGAAATTTATTGTTTTTTCAAAACCGAGATATTAAAAAGGGAAAGAAAATATTTATTTCCTCCTTTTTACAAATTTGTCACTTTTCCGTTTTCTCCTCCAACCATCACTACTTTTCATTTTCCATTTTTAACGTGTGCCGGTCATGAAACCGGAATGACACCGCCGGTATGACCGGTATGATCGACTTATATATTGTAAGCAAATTAACATCATTTTAATGAATTTAATTAATATAAAAATTAATTTATCATTCATTTTATGAATTTAATAGTTAAAAGTTGATGATATTTGTTGGATTGTAACTTAATTGTCCACAAATATGTTTTATATATGATTAAATACATTGGATATTAATTGTTTTTACACTTTTTTAAACCGGCATGAACCGGCACAAACTGGTTATACCACCGATTATACCATTCCACTTGCCAAACCGGCACAACGGTATAAACCGGTTTGACAACCTTGATCTCAAACGTCCATTCAACTTTAAGTGATTATAAAAACCCTAGATTAACACTCCAGTCTTCACTTTCTCTCGCCAAAACTTCTTTACCCTTCTTCGTTTGGCTCTCTGCCTTATTCTTTTTCTCCTTGGCGGCGACACTTCCCTGTTTGTTTTCCCACCGGTGCTTCCTTCTCCTCTTCAGCATCCCAAACGGTGGTATGATTAGTATTGGTTTTTTATTTTGCTAGTTTGAGGTCTTCAATTCACTATTAGTTTTAGATCTATATTTTCTTTAACATAGTCTCTTTATTTTTCTCCTAAACTGGACAACAGATGATGAAGTCAGTGGCAGCATTGTGGACGCTGCTTCAGTTGGAGCGATATCCGTGATGACCAGGCAATGGCATAGTGGCGTGCTTAAGCGAGAAGGCTATGATTGAGAACGTGTTGGTGGCTGGACGGTGATGAATAACAATACAATGCAGAGACAATATGCTTGCGGTGATGGTTTTTGTGTCTACCCATTCTATATTGTAAATAAATTGTACAAAGTATTACATTTTTTCATCTCGTACGGAACAACAACTCTATTGTATGTTTATTCATATAGTAAATCAATTGTGGTCTGTGGAACATATCAATTTGGTCTCAAATTTGCTCAATTGAGTTTTTATTTGGTTTAATATTTTCATATTTTCAAATTCTTGTCACAAGAAATATTTTCAGAGCGTAATAATCGAATAAGTGTGCATATCCCTAAAATAAAAATTTCATAGGAGACCATTTGTCATCCCCAAAGTACAAGTTCGGGAACAACCGCTCGTCCCTATATATAATATAGGTGACAACTTGGCATCTCTATAAAGGACCAGTTGTTGTTATGAAATAGTACTTTGGAGACGATCAATTGACTCCAATTTGACAACAATGGAGACGACATTTTATCCCTAAAAATAACATTGGGGACGACTTATTGTCATTAAACTCATGGCTATAGGATCGACATTTTATCTTTCATGGAGTAGAGACGAGATGACAGGTCATAAATTTTGGGGACGACTATTGTCCCTAGTATCGGGGACGACCTATATATTAGTCGTCCCCAAAAGAATAGAGGACAAGAGTATAAGGGACGAAAAAAACTACGAGGACGATTTTGTCTATTTCCAGGGATGATTTTTATTGTCCCCTCTTTTTTGTACTGCATAATATGCAGATCATATATTATCACATCAAAACATCATATAATACACCAATATTCTCAATCTCAAGTGTCTACATTATATTTCGGACCAAGCAGTGCCAGGCAGTTTCATCCACGACTTTTCAAAACATTTTGTCTATTATCCTCGCTAGAGGAATCATTTAGCCGGAGATTAAGGAATATCGGCCCGAAGTCTTGAACACCCAGGCGGCCTCTGTAGTTGGCGGCTCGCTACACGAGATTCCATCATTCATTTAATCGTTTGCAGAGGTTGGCGAGTCCCTCTGGAGTTGGTGATCTGCTACAGGGTACGTATTCGATCATTCATTTAATCGGGTAGAAGCTCTTCTTCATGTCCCCTCCCCTGGTCTATATATATCAGCAGGCCAGGAAGAGCCACCGTAAAAAGCTTGTTTATACACACTCACATACTGAAAAATGAATCAAAGGGAGAAAATTCGCATCATTTCCACAGAAACAATCAAACCATCTTCACCAACTCCCCCGCACCTCACCAATTTCAAGCTCTCCCTAGTCGACAACTACACTGCTGCAGCAGGGTATACGCCCCTCGTCTTCTTCTATCCTGCCCACGGTTCGAAAACAGGGGAAGAGAGGCTCCATGTCCTGAAGTCTTCACTCGCCCAGGCCCTAACCCGCTTCTACCCGCTGGCCGGACGGTTGTCGCGCCTGAATGAGGGGCAACAGCAGCCGGCGGCCGATTCAGTTCCATTAATGTTCATCCATTGCAGCGACGAGGGTGTTCCCTTCTCTACGGCCGACGGCGGAGGTTTTGGTTCGTCCATGGCTCTGTTTCTCGCCAGGGGACCCGATGCCGACTCGCTCGAGCAATTCCTCCCTTTCCCGGCGGGGCTGCTCCTCACGACGGAGGCCATCGAATCCGCGCCGCTGTTCGCCGCCAGGGCCACCCTTTTCCCCTGCGGCGGGATCGCCGTCGGGGTCTGCGGGACCCACAAGATTATGGACGCGCACACCTCCGCCGATTTTGTGAAATTCTGGGGGGCCGCCGCCTGCAGGCAGGGGAGTGAAGTAGGCGGCGCCGCCTACGCTCACGACCGCGCAGCCACGTCACTGTTTCCACTGAGTCCCGACGATGTGGGGCCTCCCGCCGTGAATTTCGGATGTGAAGAAGGGCAGAAGAAGATGGTGACGAGGAGATTCGTGTTTGATGGGGAAGCCATTTCCGCTCTGAAATCCGGAGCTAGGAGCGACCGGGTTTCCAACCCGACCCGCTCCGAGGTTGTTTTCGGGTTCATATGGAAATCCGCGGTCAATGCCACCGCTAAAGCAGTAACGTCAACCGGCGGTGGAGAGGCAGTTTACTCCGTCGGAGGTACGATGCGTCAAAATTTAAATTTTGAAGTCAAACCATATTTTTTGGCATATTCTACCTATATAACCCTTCTCAATCCTTTTAACTAAAATTAATCATTTTCTTAACCAAGAATAGGGATGCTCGTGGACCTACGACCTAGAATGAAAGAGCCATGGCTGGACTACTCCGTCGGCAACATATTTTGGTCGAACCCCACGGTGTACAAGTACGACAGTAAACAACGGTCGGATGAAGCAAAGACATTGCAGCAGCTGGTGGGTGAATTGAGGAGTTCGGTTTCAAAGGTAGACGAGAAGTTGATGGAGAAGTTAGAAGGCGGGGATGGAAGGGAGGAGTTCTTCATGAATCAGCAGTCGTGGCTTATGGCATTGATGCCAACGGGCGTAGCTGAAAGTGACATCACGGTGATGACATTTTGGATGTCGAGCATGGTCGGGATAGGGTTCTACGATGTGGATTTTGGATGGGGAAAACCTGTTTGGGTCGGCATGACTGGATTTGCAAATCAGATGTTCAACAGGGTTATGTTGATGGAGTCGCCGATTGGACATGGAATCGAAGCTTGGGTTACCTTGCATGAGCATGAAATGACCATCATGGAACATGATCCTAGATTCCTTGCTTATGCAAACAACAATCCAAGTGTATCATGGGTTTGTCCGTCCCGGCTTTGAATGGGGTGTGTGCGCATGTTTCTCGACAGCGTCAAATAAAACCAGAGCGTCAAATAAAACGTTAAGCGAACTAGAATTGTTTAATAAGATGTAATGAACTTTGAATTTCTTGTGAGCATTTTGTATGGTTGTATTTCTTTCAACTAGGATCGGTTTAATTTGGTGTAATGGTGCTATCAATCTCTATCAAATATATCACTCTTATCTTTCCTTATTGATGTTGTATGTCTCATAAAACATAAATGGTGATGTGGCAAGTTATGTATGATTCACCGAATCTACTCCCAGGAAGACATCCAAAAGAGGGTTGACATTAATAACAACTTGACAAAATTATTATTTGAGATGTCATGTAATAATAAGTGGTTGATGTAATCCTTCATAAAAATAAATGAAAATTTTATTGACTGGTAGGAAAAAATCGATGTGTGTAAATATAGGTTAATTGAAATAAATGACTAACATTTTTGTGTGTGAATTATCAGAATTTTTTATTTTCCATTCCCAAACTTGGACGTGATAAAAAATGACTTTGAAAATTTAAAAAGTCTACCCTCTGATGACTTCGTCCTTGGTGATGTAGCCTATATAATCATTATGAATTATGATTTTCAATAAAAAAAACCTGATTATTGGTATTCAGGAATCAATAAAAAAAAACATTTGATGTTTGGTATTCAATTATCAATCTTCGAATATTAAAGAGAAATATTTGGTTAAAAAGTAGAACAAAGACCTGCACAATTAGCAGAAATTGTCATACAACTTATGTTTTGCACAAAGTGTAATAATTTTGTAAATAAAATGGCACACACGTTATTTTGAAATATTCAGTTCCCGATCTTACGGGTATTGAGACGTCTTACATATGATGTCGTTAAAAGTAAATATATATTTTCCTTTGTGGATTAGGAAGAGTTGCGAGAGTGAGAGAGAGAATTAACATTAATAACAACTTGCCAACAGGTGTATGTGATAGAAATTATTTGGGCTAATTGCAAGTTTGGTCACTCGAATTGCTATAAAATTTCACGTTTGGTCACTCGAATTGGTTTATTCCATTCGTAGTCACTTAAATTAGTTGAACAGTCCAAGTTTGGTCACTCTCTGTTAACCTCCGCCAGACTCCGTTAGTTCCGTCAGTTAACTGCTGATGTGGCTAACAGAGATGTCTAGTCACCCAATTTAAACCCAAGAAAAAACAGAAATTGACCCGCCACCTCAGAAAAACCTGCCACCTCATATAAACACAACCCAACCCACCCAACCTAAAAAAACCATTAACCCACCCAGAAAATCTGCCTCCTCTACCTTCTGCTTATCTCTCTACGGTTCGCGCCGCTGAGGGAGAAAGGAAGGCGGCTAAAGGAGCTGGTGACGGACCTCCGGTGTTTTCCCCCACACATGTTTCCTTATTGATTTCCTCTGCGCCGATTCAAGGTTCTAGGTGCGTGAATTCTTCAATCGCCATTACTGCCACCAAATCATAATCCCAAATCTACGACGATATCCCGAGATAGAGAGAGCATGCAAGATTGAGTGGGAATGGAGGGCGACGCGATCCCCATATCATTCGACGGTGATGGTTTATGGTTCGCTACTCTGAAAACGTCAAAACCCAGGAAGCCTTCCATCCCACCGAACAGAGAAACCAACTTGGCGAAGCTGTCGTGGTCCTCCTGGTCTATCGCTACCAAGGCGTTGTCGTCATTGATTCACCAGCACCACCGACGCTGCTCTTTGATCTCTAATCTCAGCAGCGAACAGCGAGATCTGCTATTGGGGAGGTAGAAGATGAAGGTAAAGAAGAAGAAGGCGGAGGTCAACAAGGGTCGGGTCTGATTTTTTTCATCAGATGGGTTAAAACATCGGTCGGCTTAGAGTTTCTTACGTGGAGGATTGAATTATTATTATTTTTGGTTTAAATATGGATGACTCACCTATTCTGTTAGCCACGTCAGCAGTTAACTGACGACACTAACGGAGATTAACAAAGAGTGACCGAACTTAGACTGTTCAACTAATTTAAGTGACTACGAATGGAATAAACCAATTCAAGTGACCAAACATGGAATTTTATATCAATTAGAGTGACCAAACTTGCAATTTAGCCAAATTACTTGATAGCTTTAAATTTGTAGCTCGTGTTTTCCATAACGCTAACAACTCCAATTCGAGTCAATTATAACTCGAATTGGCAAAGTAGTATAACATTGACCGAAGCCATATTCCTCGGAAACTCTAGATCGGCTGCTACTCTCGACCTGGATCTACTATCTAGCCAAATGGATGGTTGGTGGTTTATGTGCAAAACAAATGAAGAAAGAAACAAAACTAACTATGAGTAATATGATCACAATAAATAGAATGTTAGTTAGGTTGAATCCTCAATTTGGGAAACGTTGAATACCCAGATATGCCAATAAGAAGGGCTTAGGATACGGTCAATATTCACTGGTTACTGACCAATGAGTAATTAAATCTCAGCCATCAAATTTAAGTGGACCTAGAAAATTCAGATATAAAGGTGGAGAATTAAAAGCAATTTATTTTCCCTAGTTTACTTAATCGGCTCTTATCTTCTTTGTTCTAACTCGGATTTCTTTTTTTTTCACATATGAAATGAGTTTGTTGTGCTCTGCAAAATGAGATCAATGTTCAATATTTTTTGAGGATTTTTTTTCATATCTCCCGTTACCAACTGCATACCATATGATAACTTCTTCGTTTCTAAGCCGTTTTTTAAAACATTTGCTCAGAAGGAACGAGTTCCTCATGATCTATTGGATCTACAAACACATAAAACGATTCACAACAAGCATCAATCACCCATTCCGGCCTAGCCATGCACCATCATCTTTGTACGTAACACCCCGATATTTGGGTGTAGGTTCGACCACAATAAAGGAGCAATTGAATCAATGATTATGTACGAGTACCTCAAAATTTTCAAACCGGGTTAACGACCAAGGCCTAACTATTCGGCGTGGGCGTGGCCCAAATTCATTGATGCACAACGGAGGGATTGTAACTATGGATTAAGGGTGATAATAATCCTACAAACAATTTATAGAGGTCCCACGTGAGAACCCATCCAATTGAGTTTTTCCTAGCTTATGCGCACAGTTAGGGAGAATTTTTTGATAATTTTGATGAGTTTAAAACACCTAAATTATTAATTAAAAAAATGAATCGGGTCTCCAAGACTGCAGCTAGAGCCATTCCTTTTTTATTTAATATGTTATATATATGGGGCGCTTCTTTAGCCAAAAGTATATATATATATATATATATGGTTTAAACTTCATTGGTTTTTGCTATTTAGATGATTACTTAAGCAAAGTTTGGAGCATAATACTATACCCTACGCACGAATGGGTGAACTCCAATTCCTAATTTCCTAACCCAAATCATGATATATATTCATTTAATATTAAAATAATAATCGATGGTTCTCATTCATCAAAATATATCAAAGTACAAATAATAGGTATGATCACAAGCATATAGCATACAGGCGTACGCTATCCTTTGCCATATATAATCATCTACTATAGTTCAAATTATTGGTGTTTGCAAGCGAAATGATTATCCCTGCCGAATTCATTAAAGTATAAACTCAATTTGCACGATAGTATTATAGTATAAATTCAATTTCTTTCATAAATATATATATATATATATATATGGTTCAGACTCGTACGCTCCAGACGCATAACATGCTCCAGTTGCTCTACACCGTTGATTTAATCTAACGTATGTTATTAATTGTAATTAAATTATTTATTAATTATGATTTTATAATAATTGATTGGTTCTATTATTTTTTAATACGTGCTCTTTAATCCCTATACAAAATTTTTGTATCTTTTCATATTATCATGCATAATATTCTTCTATCTAATTAATTGTGCACCCAATTTTTGTGTGATTGTGTTCCCATCAAGTTACATTCAAACTATTCCTCAATTGATATATGTAAAACACAGAAGTCAGAACGATTATGTCGTACAACTCCAAAAACCCCCTTTCCCATATCCCCTTCATTCTGACGGACGAACCCTATCCTCCTTTCACCATCGAATCAATTATCCTACCAAATTGTCTTCAATAACCGAGCTCTGGATTTTTTCGGGCGCCATCGCTATCTATTGCATAGTGAAAATTGCATACTACTCGAGAGATGGGGGTAAGGGCTGATCGGCGGAAAACTCTATACTGGAAACACATGCAGACGAAATCGATGGAGATGGCGGTGCGGAGGTCAGACATCAGAAATTGCTCATGGGGAAGTTAAATTGGTAATCGCTATGCCGCAATCGATGATGATTTCGTCATTTTCACAAGCTCCATGACTGTCATCTTGCACGCCGCCACCGAAAGCCTGAGTTGATGCTTATGAGAATCAGTCGAATTTGTTGTCTAATTTTGACGAGTATTGCAAAAGTGGAAGGGCTGTTGAAAAGATTTGATCGAGCTTGGATGTGACTGGAAGACTGAGGCCCAGGGAGCGAGAACTGAAGGTGTCCACACATGGTCTGGTATGGATTAATAGTATTGAATCTGTAAATCCTTAAGCTTGTGATAATTCCATTCAGAAGCACTATCTTGCTCAATTTGCTTTGTCACTTAGTTGTAATAAGGTTCTCGTGGAGGGTGTTGGGGAAGAGGCAAATTCATAATGAAAACTAGGGAAATTTGGGGTGTAATACGATTTAAGTAGAGGATTCTGAACATATTATCACAAGATTAAGTAATGCATCAATCATTAAGCTGTTAACGTGGAACAGGTTCATATCCTTTCTCTTTCAAACCTTTTTTAGTGGATTGACAATCATTAGTCGCCACATGGTTTGTTTGTGAATTTGATGTAGGGGTCGACAACGGGACAGGACGGGATACCCATCGTTTGAAATGGGTACTGAGTCCCATTTGGAGAGGAAACTCCATCCTGTGTCACAACTCGTACGGGTTAACGGGTACCCATTACCCGTACGAGATGGATAACGGGTACCCGCGGGTAACCCATACACACAAGCCTTAGTAGTGGTCAGACTTGTTGATTTCATATTTCCCTGCTTAGATGTGGTCATCTTAGGATGTATTTCTTGTTCTGTAAACAGCTTGCAGCCTATACTACCAGAATACAGAGGGAAAAGCCATTCACTAGAGTACTGTAATGCAAGATCACTATAAATGAAAAGATCACTATAAATGAAAATGGAACCAAGAATTGGGCTAAAGACGAGCTGCCCAAGGAAAACTGCAACATCCCAAACCACAAGCACATTCGCACAAGACCATTTGTTGTATGTTGACTAAATTCTCTTACTGACTTGCTGTTACTTTTGCAGCACTACACACGACCAGCTTGATAGAAGGTCATTCAAACCCATCATCATTGTAAGAGGGGATTATTGCCTTTGCCTAACTTAATATTGTCATCCAACGGCACTTTGGCTGTTGCCCACCCCTGATTTGATGGGCTGGGATTATTATTTCAGTGTATTCAGCAGTCTGACCCAGCTACATCTGAGCAAGAAGGTGAGATCGTGGACTTCACAACCACTACATTGGAAAGAAATCCACAACCAGTCCTTAGAACAATTAGTGTTCAAAATCAAACATTCCTTAGAACTGGTCTGCTTGGGAAACAATAACGTGCAGTCTGCTTGTAGTAGTACATGTATAGTTCTTGTTAGCTAAATGTTAGTATAGATTCTGTTGTAGATTGATTAGTTTATGTTCTCATTTGATTGAGTTGTATCCCTTGTAACCTGTTGGGATTGAATTCTCATTTTCAGAATACCATACGTGCTGAATAAAGTTTTTTTGAGTTGTATTGTAACCTGTTGGGATTGAATTCTCATTTTCAGAATACCATACGTGCTGAATAAAGTTTTTTTGAGTTGTATTCATTATGCTTCTCATAAAATAACAGTTGTTTCTATTAAGAAGCTGTCATATTTATTTGTTTGTTGTTATTAAGGTATCTTGTACTCTTTCTAACACGATAAAAGCTCACAATTACCACTTCGGAATTTCCCAATTTTTTAGATATATTCTCTCCCAGCTGGTCACCAGACTAGAGTTGTGCAACTGTAATTAAACCCCACACTTCACTGAATTACTTGAGTTTGATATAATAGAATTAGTTTCATCCCAAACTGAATAATTGAAAATGTACCAAAAGTGTCGATGCTGTGGATCTAAACATATAGACCAAAGATTCTAAAACCATAAACTTCACTAGTTCAACAAACAAACAAGTTCAACATAGAACAAAAAGAACTGAATCCCATGATAATGTAAACTGAAATTTGTTCACCCGAATACCCAACAGAAAAGCACGCTTAAATTACGAAATCACGGAAGCACTATCTCCATATAGCTCTAGTTCTTGTTCAGCCTCTTTCGATTTTCTTCCTTGTACGTACGAGTCTCGAGTTCAAACCTCGGTGCATTCCTATTTGCTTCCTTGATGACCACATGTCTTATGTAATTTGCAGGTTGTTTGACTAGATATACAGCTAGTTGCATTCTCCTCATATCTCCACATGGCTGAAAATTTTTCACAAAGACAATGGATCTCAATAGCAAATTCACTAGGTTGTTTAACTACAAGTTCAAGCAAGTGAATTGTTGCTTACCCATATAAAATAATCTTCATCCCAAGTTGCACCCATCATCCATACGCACACCCAAACGCCACTGTCATACCTACATAAATTTAGATGAAGCATATGATCAGTTGTGAGTATTTTTTTCAAATTTATGCATGAGGAATGATTCTTACTCGTAACGTTGTTCAGGAACTGAAGGAATTGTCAAAGAGAACTCCTTCATCACTGGGGGATCGCTCATTTGTTCCACTTGTAAATAAAGATCCTCGAACAAGGCATCGAGAAATCCAATCTACATAAGAAGTAACTTTATTACAAATAGAAGAGAACAACAATCCAGTTCACAAATATAATCTTATTCCACGCACAAATTCTGACCATACCATAGTTTGTACTGCATCTTTACGAGGTGTTTGGCGCTCTTTAGAAGGATATGAATCCAAGATATGAACTTGCTTGTCATCCATCAAGATGACAACTGATGCTCTAAAACACAACACCTAACAATGGCCAAGTGTAACCAATGAAAGGGACTGCAGTATAGTGACACAAGTAATAAATATCGAATCCACGGGTCTCTAGAGTTACTATTACTCAGCTTCAGTTCATTATCTAGCAAACTAGATTAAGGATTGATTAACTAAACTACTCTACTAACTAAACTAAGTAAAACTACTAATTACAGTTTGGGAACTCACTTAGGTATGATTCCCCCTAGCTCCTCAATTAGGACCAAGTTGTAATTCCTTTTGGTTGATTTACTGTTGATTAAACTGCGGAAGATCCGACAGTAGCTTGGAATCTCTTAAGCTGACCAATCCCTCTCAGTCTAACTATCCGGCAGACGACTAGTCTTCACCGGGATAGAAAGCTGAAGCAATAAGCACAGAACTCCACTACTGGAATTGGATTCCAGTACAAAGCAGTAAACTGGCTAACTCTCGTATAGCTAATCTCCTACTACCGAATGATGAGACTCTAGCAACCTAATCAGATTCTATCTATCTCAGATTGCAGCAGGAATCAGGAAAAGTTGATCAGACTTCAATTGACTCAATAAACATGCATCATTCGATTATAATCAAACAATATAGCATCCAAAAATTCATACAAGAAAGATCCTAACTCATGGAACTAAGGTTCGTCAAAACCTAAGTGAAGGGAAGTTACTCCATAGAGAAGAGAGAGACTGCAGAAATCTGATCTAGATCTTCAATCTCCATCTCCAAGCTTGATTCCCGAGCTCCAATGGCGAAGAAATCCTCCAAAATAGCTCCAAGAATGTTCCCAAGTCGCTCTCTCTCTCTAGGGTTCGTCCCTTGGGTGTTTGGGATCCAAAACCCAGCTCTCCCCCTTTCCTTTTGCTGAAAATTGGGTTTTAAACAGCAATTCCCGACTCACACGGCCAGGCCACACGGCCGTGTGGCTTTCCCCGCTGCCCGTGTGAAGGCTCGGTGATTTCCACACGGCCACATGGCCAGGTCACACGGCCGTGTGGGTTGTGCCCGTGTGGCTTGCTCAACCTCTGTTTAATGCCTCGTTTCTCCCTCGTCCGGACTCCGAATCAGTCGCCGTTTGATCCCAGGCGCTCGTAGTCTCTTCCTCTTTCTATTCATGAAAAGCTTGCATGATTATTTTTCCATAAAGTGAGGTATAAATCCATTCTTCTTCAGGTCATACCCGAGTTTCTTCTCCCGAATCGTCAATTGATCTCTGATTGACTTGAAACTTGCGCCTATGCTTCACTTTATGTGCTAGGACCTGAAATGTGACAAAGGAACACAACCTAGCGTAAAATAGGCCAAAGACACGATAATTCAAGCTCAAACAATCAAGAAACAAAGGGGAAAACATGTGCAAATACCGAGTCATCAAATTCCCCCACACTTAACTGTTTGCTTGTCCCCAAGCAAACCTAACTCAAACCAATGCAGCTCTCCAGAGCTCTATAGCAACATACAACCCCGATCTTCGGTAGAGGATTTCCTAGATGATATAGCAACTTACGAGGTCAACTGGTCTTCTAAGACGTTCCCTATCTCTCTCAATGCGAGTACTAGACTCAAGCCAGGATCATGAGAAAAAGTAGAAGTAAGACAGTCAGTTCGTGGATAAAGGGACTCACACCATTCACAACCAAGGATTCGTTGTACCGGGGTGCTCTTTCACTTCATTTCACCGTTGGAACCCCTTTTTCTCACTTTCATTTACATTTTTTCTTTCATTTGGTGGGGTTCCAACTGCAGTCTTTTGCACGGTCGACCCTTATTAGTCGAGCAAGAGCAATTTCTGTACATCTGGAGCTCGCCAGAGTACTTCTTTTAACTCCTTTTCCTCAACTCGTGTGGAGGGTCAATGAAATTAAGGGGGGTCGGAAGCTCTATCCGTGCCCTTAAAAACACATCCTCAAGTAGGCAAACCGTTCAACGGGTGGAAGTTTTACTTGTACTAGAGACAACTTAGCTTCACCTTGTAGGAGTACCCCACTAAGGATCACTAAAATCTCTTCCAAAACCCGATTTTGTGCAATGAACGGTGCCGCACACGTTGGGCTTACCCCATGTTTAAGATTTAATGATTTTGACATGGAGGACCAACTGCTTCCCATTTTCCATATGAGCACCCTGTTCGATACACGAGTCCATAACATAATCCAAACAGAGTCACCATTACCACATGAATTCAACGGTCTTAGCTCCACTAATTCACAAAATCAACTGGCACAACAGAGAGCTAGATAGGAAAAATCTTATACTTCAACATCCTCCATAGTGCTACACTACCTCCCTAGGTTGCACATTACTATAGATACTGTCAATTCAAAGCATACTGAGCAGGCAATTTGCAAGGAAACACATACTTGGAGCCCTCAAATTTAAAAATTTGGATAGTGGACTAGGCTCCAAGCACACAAACAGCCAAACGTTCACCCACATACATAATCGAACACCCCCCCACACTTAAGCACGACATTGTCCTCAATGGAGGAAAGATAAGGAGGGTAGAACGAAGTTACCAGATCAAGGGTGAATGATGATGTACGGGTCAGGCAGTGCATTCCAGGAAGAGAGAGTAATCAGAACACAAACACCACACAAAATCTCACAAAGGTTGAGTTATTGCTAAATGATCTAGGAAGTCCTCTACCTACGATCTGGGGTGTTTGTTGCTATAGAGGTCTGGAGAGTTGCATTGGTTTGAGTTAGGTTTGCTTGGGGACAAGCAAACGTTTAAGTGTGGGGGGATTTGATGACTCGGTATTTGCACATGTTTTCCCCTTTGTTTCTTGATTGTTTGAGCTTGAATTATCGTGTCTTTGACCTATTATATGCTAGGTTATGTTCCTTTGTCACATTTCAGGTCCTAGCACATAAAGTGAAGCATAGGCGCAAGTTTCAAATCAATCAGAGATCAATTGACGATTCGGGAGAAGAAACTCGGGCATGACCTGAAGAAGAATGGATTTCTACCTTACTTTATGGACAACTAATCATGCAAGCTTGTTATGAAAAGAAAGAGGACGAGACTACGAGCGTCTGGGATCAAACGAGGACTGATTCGGAGTCCGGACGAGGGAGAAACGAAGCATTAAATAGAGGCTGAGCAAGCCACACGGGCACGACCCACACGGCCGTGTGAACTGGCCATATGGCCGTGTGGAAATCACCGAGGGCTCACACGGGCAGCTGGGAAAGCCACACGGCCGTGTGGCCTGGCCGTGTGAGTCGGGAATTGCTGTTTAAAACCCGATTTTCAGCAGAAGGAAAGAGGAGAGCTGGGTTTTGGATCCCAAACACCCAAGGGACGAACCCTAGAGAGAGAGAGAGCGACTTGGGAACATTCTTGGAGCTATTTTGGAGGATTTCTTCGCCATTGGAGCTCGGGAATCAAGCTTGGAGATGGAGATTGAAGATCTAGATCAGATTTCTGCAGTCTCTCTCTTCTCTATGGAGTAACTTCCCTTCACTTAGGTTTTGAGGAACCTTAGTTCCATGAGTTAGGATCTTTCTTGTATGAAGTTTTGGATGCTATATTTTTTTATTATAATCGAATGATGCATGTTTATTGAGTCAGTTGAAGTATGATCAACTTTTCCTGATTCCTGCTGCAATCTGAGATAGATAGAATCTGATTAGGTTGCTAGAGTCTCATCATTCGGTAGTAGGAGATTGGCTATACGAGAGTTAGCCAGTTTACTGCTTTGAACTGGAATCCAATTCCAGTAGTGGAGTTCTGTGCTTATTGCTTCAGCTTTCTATCCCGGTGAAGACTAGTCGTCTGCCCGATAGTTAGACTGAGAGGGCTTGGTCAGCTTAAGAGATTCCAAGCTACAGTCGGATCTTCTGCAGTTTAATCAACAGTAAATCAACCAAAAGGAATTACAACTTGGACCTAATTGAGTAGCTAGGGGGAATCATACCTAAGTGAGTTCCCAAACTGTAATTAGTAGTTTTACTTAGTTTAGTTAGTAGAGTAGTTTAGTTAATCAATCCTTAATCTAGTTTGCTAGATAATGAACTGAAGCTGAGTAATAGTAACTCTAGAGACCCGTGGATTCGATATTTATTACTTGTGCCACTATACTGCAGTCCCTTTCATTGGTTACACTTGGCCATTGTTAGGTGTTGTGTTTTAGAGCATCAAGTTTTTGGTGCCGTTGCCGGGGACTTTCTAGATTATTAGGAAAGGCAGAAGTTTGTTACTTTAGCGTTTTTCTTTTGTTTTCCGCCCTTGCTTTTCACTTGGGTGTTTTTTGTTTTTGTTGGTGAAGATCTGAATCATGGACCCTTATGGCTTCTCCAATCATTGGGGGTATCCACCACCATCCGAGTGGTATTACCCCGAGACTCCCTGGAGCAATCAAGGAGGAGAAGACTATGGATTCTGGTTCCAGTACCAACCCCCTTTCTACGGAGAACAACCAGACCCCTGGGCATATCAAGAACAACCTCATTACCAAGAAGACTTTCTCCCACAACCAGAAGGGCCATCGGAGCTGGAGTTACCCATGGCGGCCTTCACGGGCCACTCTGCAGAGCCATGCTACACTTCACTGGAGGATCCGAACGAACAATTAAGGCTTCTCGTGGAGCAGTTTGCTCGAGACACTGAGAAATCATGCTCCAAGATGGATATTCAAATCAAAGCCCTTGCCACTTCCGATTCCTCATTTCTCCATGATATGGAGGAGACTGTTCAGCGCTCAGCGAAGCAAACAGAGTGGGTGAAGCAAGTTTGCTCACATCTTTCTCAAGATCACCTTTCTGCTGCCACGCTAGAAGAGGTGGAGGATGACAAAGGCTATGGGAGCGTTGAGGATCATACAGAAGTTATCACAGAGAACTCCCATGATAACCATGATCAGGAAAGTCCTTTGGTTGCAGACCACACCTTTCCTCATTTATGCTCTAACATGCTGGGCCCGTGCGAGGAGATGCAAGATGATCCCATTGAAGAAATTGCTTGGCGACTTGCTCTCCAATCTGTTCTAGAAGAAGAAGAGCGAGCAAGGATGAGGAAGGAAGTTGTGGATGATGAGGAAGAAAGAAAAGAAGAGGTGGTTCTTGATCTTTTCCCAGGGGAGAGACCACATTTTGAAGAAGGAAGGGGGGTTGAGGAAGCAATTGGCGTCCAGGCTGAGGATGAAGTTGAGGTGGAAGAGGCATGCACCGGCCATGAGTTGCAAGTAATATCCCCACCAAACTTTGAGGAACTGCTTGGCAAGGACCCATTTGCAGTGTCTCTTTGCCAGACCAAGGCCACATCGACATCGGTCCCTCTTGGTGGACGCGATGGTGGCCAATCGATGCTGTCATATCTGGTTTGGGGCAATTTGACGAGAGAAGAGAAGAAGAGGTCTCAAGGGTGGAGACTTCATCTGCATCAAGTACATGAGCCTTCATCACCTGCCACACCACATGCTCGTGACTTGAGACTCCACCTCATCGACGAGAACCTCAACTTCAAGGAGGTTCTAGCATGGACCGAAACTTAGGAGCCATCGTCTGGCTCACGACGTGAAAGAAGCGCTTGTTGGGAGGCAACCCAACCAGTCGGTTTGCATTTCTTTCTCTATTTCTCCTCGGTCGAGTCAATTTTGTTATTTGATTTTAGAGTCAATAACTCAACCTTTGTGAGATTTTGTGTGGTGTTTGTGTTCTGATTACTCTCTCTTTCTGGAATGCACCGCTTGACCCGTTCATCATCATTCACGCTTGATCTGGTAAATTCGTTCTACCCTCCTTATCTTTCCTCCATTGAGGACAATGTCGTGCTTAAGTGTGGGGGGATGTTCGATTATGTATGCGGGTGAATGTTTGGCTGTTTGTGTGCTTGGAGCCTAGTCCACTGTCCAAATTTTTAAATTTGAGGGTTTTAAATTTGAGGGCTCCAAGTACGTGTTCCTTGCAATTGCCTGCTTAGTATGCTTTGAATTGACAGTCTTTATAGTAATATGCAACCTAGGGAGGTAGTGTAGCACTATGGAGGATGTTGATGCATTTAAGAAATCTCATTTCTTCTTCATATTGTGTTGGTTGATTGAGTGAATTAGTGATCTTAGGACCCTTGAATTGTGTGGTGTTGTGTACTCTCTACCTGTCATGGACTCTTGTATCATGTTTTGAAAGTAACAGGTGCTCGAAAATGTGCTTCAAAATAACGTCTCCCGTGCGAATAGGGCGAAAGTGTGTAAGGGGAGACGGGAATTCGTTCCCAATTTCCACCTACTACCTCCAGCCCCCTTACATGTCTTTCCCCCGCACGAGGCTCGAGACATCCGCTCCTGGCATGGCCGGTAAGAGCAGGTTGGGACCCTTGAAACAAAAAAGAGTAAAGAAAAAATAACAGAAAACAAGCAAAACAGAAAGAAAAGGGGTTCCAAGCATCTTCAAAGAAAATAGAGCACCTTGAAAAATGTGAGTCCATGATCCTTTGATTTCCACGGCAACGGCGCCAAAAACTTGATGCTCTAAAACACAACACCTAACAATGGCCAAGTGTAACCAATGAAAGGGACTGCAGTATAGTGGCACAAGTAATAAATATCGAATCCACGGGTCTCTAGAGTTACTATTACTCAGCTTCAGTTCATTATCTAGCAAACTAGATTAAGGATTGATTAACTAAACTACTCTACTAACTAAACTAAGTAAAACTACTAATTACAGTTTGTGAACTCACTTAGGTATGATTCCCCCTAGCTCCTCAATTAGGTCCAAGTTGTAATTCCTTTTGGTTGATTTACTGTTGATTAAACTGCGGAAGATCCGACAGTAGCTTGGAATCTCTTAAGCTGACCAAGCCCTCTCAGTCTAACTATCCGGCAGAAGACTAGTCTTCACCTGAATATCATCACCATGCATCATATCTTTCATTGGCAGACACAACTACATTACGACAAGAAAGACCAAAATCAGTAGACCATATTTGACATTCCATTTATGAAAAAGTTAAATAGCTTGATTGGAGAAAAAAAATTATTCACATATATCTTCATACAATAGCTAGAAACAATTAATGAGGAAGCCAAAAGTGAAATGCAGAAGAAGTATTGAGAAGAAAACCTTTCTGCAGGTGTGAGCTGTTGTGAGAAACTTTGTACCGTAACACTCTAAAGCTTTTTTCGATGTCATGCCATAGTTAAGTACCATTTCCTAATCCTGATTTGATTAAATTAGCAGAATTAACGTTTATTATATATCATAGAACAAACAATATATTTCACCTAAAATAAATGTACAAGGTAAATCAATATGTACCTGCAGTTCAGTAGGCAGAAAACATACTCTTCTTCCACGACCAGCATCCCTCGAAATTTCGTCCAGGGTCAAGTGGCAAGTCATTGCTGTAATTACCTAATACACCAACCAACCAGGGTATACAAATTTTAGGAGATTGGTATTATGCTAGTTGAACGGTAAGGAGAGAGGTAAGGTGCAATCTGTTACTAACTCTATTGAAAATGAGAAGCAAAGAAAGCATATTAGAAGAGGCCTAGCTTCTTCGATAGGCTGAAGTAATCAGTGGCCTTTTCTAAAGTTTCATGCTTGAAGTTCATGGTTATCTGTTGAAGCTTATCGAGACCTTACCCATATTTCTGCATGCTGTGACAATTTCAATGCAGGAACAACTATATTCAGGCCAGTATATCCTCAATTAAACAACTTAGCTATCACCGAGCAGACTTTCCATTTTGAATTTCGAGAAGAATCGTAATTAGCTAGTTACTAAGCCAATTATTACCATGTACTTAGCATCAATGAAAGCATCATTAACTCCAACACTTCCAGATTGGCCCTAGATGTGGCAATGCTGCCTAACTAAAAAATTTGCCAATAATTTGTATTAAAAACTTTTTTTTATAATGGTGAGTAATGGAATTAAATAGAAGAACCGTGTACAGATACAAAAACAAAATCAGAGAGGAAACTAGAAGCAAAGTTGCACCAGCAGTGCACTCCTCAAAGAAACAAAGGGAATTAAATAGAAGAACAGTGTACAGATACAAAAACAAAATCAGAGAGGAAACTAGAAGCAAAGCTGCACCAGCAGTGCACTCCTCAAATAAACAAAGGGAAAAGGGCAAAAATACACAGGAGAAAAAAAAAACAACAAACCAAAGGCAGGTCAAATAAACAGGCACCACCAAAGAAAGAACGACAACCACCAGACTCAAATTCTGGGTAGAAAGGACATGATCCAGGCTAACCCTTGATCCTTATCAATTTTCCCACGAATCGTCATCTACTCATTAACAAATGATGTGCAAACAACAAGATATAAAACACCCTTCAACATCCTGATTAGTAACAGTAGGCCAGGATTAAAACTTACATCAGCATCAACATTGGAGTTAGGGCAGAGGGACCATAGCGCCTTTCGCGTATAGGATTTTATCATGGTATCGACTAGGACCTCTTTTAACGGAAATATGTAGTGAGCAAGTTTGATTTCCTCCTCACTGTAGTTGATAGCGTGAGGCAACCTAAACTTAGTTTCTGCCTGCAATGGAAGACGAAAGAATATTAGTGGGTTCGATAAAAATATAACCACTGATTCCATTTTAAGGCAGAAAAATATTAGCGGGGTGGATAAAAATACCTTTTTGGTGAATTGCAGGGTAGAAGATCTGGTACGACTTTTGCAGACTAAAGCATTACCATCTCCCCTCGATTCACCATCAAGAACAATCATATTTGATCCCGGCGTCGATGGAGGGATCACACCGACATCAGTTCTAGCTTTCTTTACCGGAGATACATCCTTCTCCAGCTCCTACGTTCATAGTAACAAAAACAATAGTCGTTCTTTAGTTTTTAACGAAAAATAAGCTGCCAACGATGGAGATATGAAAACATGTAAACTGATCTTGTCATTATCCCGTTGTCCATAACGTGCTTCATCTTGTTCTTCTCCCTGAGATAAAAAAAAAAGAAATCATAATGAACAAAAGAGGAATTTAGAAGAAAGAGAGACTTTACGATGGTGGCCTTCTTCCTTGTGTATATAATTGACTTACCCTGGCTTTCCCATGGTCCTCTTCTGTTCCAGCTTCACAGAACAGTACGGAACTGTGCTCTTCTAATCCTACCGTCACAGTGCTGGGTATTCCTGAAAGAATAAAGGGGTTTCACACGTCTTAATAAAGGGGGATGTAGAGTGTTTTTCTCTTTATGGTAAGTTTAATATTTATCTACCTTATTAAGTCAACTTAGAAAATTCTATTAAAGCTATACGGAAAATCTTTTATCATTAATTAAAGTTAGTGTGACGGTTAATTAATTGAAGTGGAAGGTTAAGCTACCAAAAATATTAAAATAATAATGTAACTACACGTGTATGTACCTAAATTTAAGTACTAAGATAATCATTCTTAATGTAGACAAAACGACAGAGAGGTAAAAATAGGTTTCCAGCAGCCTGCAACCCTACCAAACCACCTATAATCAGTATCCCACCCTGCCGAGACCCTAAACCAAAGAAGTTTGCAGCCATTATATCGATGGAAGAAGAAGAACATCCTCGTAACAGTGCCATCGAAGATGACCTTGAGAGTTTAGAGGAAACAAGAGAAACCGTCAATGGCATTCAGAATGGAGAAACGACTGGGATGGAAGATGTGATTTTAGATCCTCCTAAAATCGGCCAGATATTTAATGACTTCGAAGAAGCTTACAACTTCTACAATGATTATGCAAGGGCTTGGGGATTCTCTGTTAGGCGCTCAAAGAAAGTTCAGAACAGCAAGGGAGAGGTTACTACTGGAGCTTTCGTTTGTTCTTGTGAGGGACATAGAGCCCCCAACAAAGGGGAGAAAAAGAGAGACTCCCCCATGGAGACCAGATTTGGTTGTAAAGCAAAAATGCGTGTGGCATTTAACAAGAATGATTCAAAATGGATAGTGGATATATTTAAAGAAGATCACAATCATATGCCAATTAATCGGCAGTGTACTCATCACCTGAGATCACAACGAGGGTTAACAGAGGCTGACAAGGCAGACTTTAGATTTAAGAAGAATGCAGGTATGAAACCTTCTCAAATCATAAAGCTTGCTGTGCATAATGCTGGAGGACATGACAAAGTTGGATACACAGTAAAAGATGGGATGAATTTCAGCACTCGAGATTCGCAATGAAAGGCTATGTCCTAGTGATGCGGAAGCCGCACTGGCCTATCTAGAATCGAAGAAAAGTACAGACACGCACTTCATCCTCCGGTACACTACTGACGAGGAAAATAGGCTCCACAGTTTATTCTGGGCAGACAGTATGAGCATAGCTGACCTCTCGTGCTTTGGAGAGTTGCTCGCATTTGACACGACATACAAAAAAAATATTTACAATATGCCTCTTGTTATTTTCACAGGTACACACCTTAGTGCTAATTTTGGTTCGTATATTCAATTTTCTAATCTGTAAACAAGTTGAGAAGCACTTGCTATTTCAGGTATCAACCATCATTTCACGAGTTGCTTATTTAGGAGTGCACTGTTAGCTAATGAGACTGAAGAGAGCTACAAGTGGGCTTTGGAGATATTGAAGGAAATGTTGGGTGGAAAGGACTTGCATACAGTTGTAACAGATGGGGATAAAGCAATGAGGAATGCCATTGCTACTATGTTTCCAGATGCAACACACCGGCTTTGTGCGTGGCATCTTTCAAAGAATAGCCCAGACTTCGAACCCCAATGGAGCACATTTGTAACTGCTGATTATGAGCAAGAAGAATTTGAAGAGAAATGGAAGGAATTAGTGGAAAAATGTGGTCTACAGAACAACCAATGGGTGACTAAAAATTTATTTGGGAGACGCGGAGAATGGGCGGACACATACTTGCGCTCCCACTACTTTGCCGGGCTGACAACCACATCAAGAAATGAAGGTATAAATTCATTTGTTGGAAGATATTTGGAGGAGAGACACTGTTTGCTTGACTTTTTCATTCAGTATGGTCGTTGGTGTAGGGATTTAAGGGAAACAGAGATCAAATTAGATTTTAAATCTAATTATGGTTTAACCCCGCCAAAGAGCACCATGCTTAGACCCCTTGAAGAAAGTGCAGTTAAGTTGTTCTCGAAAGCTGCATTTCTTAAATTCAGAAGTGAACTAGAGCAGGTTATTGGGTGCATAAAGAACACTCAATCTGAGGATGGAAACATACACACCTACAGTTTAAGTATGTTCAACAAACAGATGGTTGTGGAGGTAAAATACAACCTTGAAACAAAGGATATGGAGTGCAGCTGTAAAAAATTTAACAGTGTTGGAATTCCCTGCACTCATATGCTCTATGTGTTGAAAGAAGAACGAGTGAAAAGTCTTCCTGAGAAACTTATACTTAAACGTTGCTCAAAGAACCCAAAGTCAATAGACAGTATGCCACCGCCACCTAAGTTGGGGGATGATCATTCTTTCAACACCAGATATGGGTCACTCCAGTTCTTGGCTACACATATTTTCCTATTGGGGGGCAGAGACTCCTCTATCTTTCCAGGTTGCTCGAGGGGGGTTGACAGTAGTGAGGGACAAGTTGGAAATGATGAGAACAACTCCGGCTGAAAGGGAATCGATGGTAATACCTAAGGAGTTCGAAAGAGTCCTCAACCCCAAAAAAGTGATGTTCAAGGGATGTAGAAAAGGAAAGGGAAAAAACAACAGAAGAAAAAGAAGAGGAAGTGTGGGAGATGCGGTAGAAGGGGCGGTCATTATATTAAGACTTGTCCTGAACCCGAAGGCTACGTGCCGCCAGCTACAGAATCTTCGTCTGATGAAGAGGATGAAGACGATGATATGGATTTTGCGGACAATGATGGAGGTGATGATGGAGGTGATGATGGAGATGATGACGATGACCAAAGTGGTCGGCCCCAAAAGGTAATTGGTAAAACATATTTGAGTTCTTATCAGAATTAATAGTTCTTAAAAACTAAGTGTTTTTATAATGGTTATATCAGAAGCAACGAACTAGCAACCACGATGATGATGTAGAGCCTACGGAAAACATACCGAAGCTACATAAGGTTATACAACACTTGCTTTCTAAATTTTCTTCTATTTGGTAGAAGTAGCTATCAACTTAAGAGTTTAATTTCTACTCTTGTAACAGACTGGGCCACGTACTAGGAGTAGTACTATGACACATCAGCAGCAAGGGAAATCCAATAAGCATACAGAACCTAGTGTGGAGCCTTCTGCTCAATTTTCTGAACGCCAATCTGAGAGGACCCAACAGGTTTTTTAGTGAAAATAATCTAATGCATCCTAATGTATATATTATGTGAGAACCTTTGCTAAAAAAGTTACAGTTTCAATGTTCTTTTATCTTGTTTTTTATGTTTCAGAAGAGGGGACATGGCAAGAAGTTGAACAACACAGACAGGGCAAGAAGTTGAACAACATCCAGAGAAAGGAGTTGAAAAGAACTCAGTTTTTTTTATTTGTTCATTGAAATTGATGGGACAGAATCTTTTAGCTTGGTTGATTTACAACAAGTGCAGCCTTTGATGGTTTATTTTTTGGTTTGACGAACATAGAGAGTTGGAAATGAGTTCTTAGTTATTCAAGGACATACCTCGTGCATTTTTTGCAAGGCTGCTTTGATTTTAACTTTGTTGTCTTCTTCATCTTCTCGTCGAGGTGCCTGAGATTGATATGCATATGGTTGGTTATTAAATTTATACCATAATTTATCTAACATAAGTAGACTGATCCAACATAGGGACCAGATTGATATGTAATAGGGGTTGAGATAAACTTACACCAACTGCAGCACGTGTCTTGTATTCCTTAGAACCAGTTTGACTCTTGCGAGACCTCGACAACCAGATCTTGCTGGTTGCTGATGGGTGGTGCATGTCCTTTGCTTGCGAGAATTCCTCTTCCGACTTTTGTGGTCGCAAAACTATCTTTATCGCGGTATCAAACACCGTCTTCACATTCTGATTCACAAAACAACACTATCAAACACAATCTTCATTCATAAATGGATGGATGCTGCAATTTATGCTACATATTAATATGCCTTCTTTTTTCTTGATTAACATGCTGATAAATATACAAACCTGCTGAGTTTTGGAGCTGCGCTCAATGTAAGGCAATCGTTGAATTCACTTGAAGAAACAACTGACACCAGAACTGAAGTTCCCTTGACCTCACCGCCTGAAAGTTTCAAAAACAATGTTTAGGTTTCTACCTTAGGCAGGACTAGACGGACTCTGATAAAATCTCTGCCAGTTACCATACTTTTTGTAAGGTCGCGACGACAAAAATATGTCTAGGCTAGACAACGAATTTCTAGATGTATAAGCTCCACTTGGATGACATCACAAATCCATATGCAACCCCAGCAGCAAAATGCATAGAGCTGATTTCAAGATGCAGTTAATCACTCGGTTATTCAGAAAGAAAGTGTAACAAATATGTGGACAAACTATCTGCATCAACTAAAATCCCTACAATACACAGATTATACACTGTTACATTCACAGGGCAAATTTTGGAAAGAAAAAGGCAAACTAAACCGCTGCATGGATGGTTGTGCAAGATACAAGCTCGCATGAAGATCATTTATCAAAACACCACAAAAGTTTATCATTTTTTATGACTCTGCATAAATGAAGGTATAAGTTCCAGCAGGCGGGTAAAAATCACAGTAACAATTGCTCAATTATCAAAACACAAGGGCAGGGGAAGGTGGGAAAGACCTGATACTCCTGGAAGTAAACAAATCCTGTATAGATAGAGAAGAAAGTCCACACTATCTGAAACATAGGAACAATTAATATTGCATCAAACTGGGCAAGTCCTTCATTCAACCTAGATGAGGGGTTTACAGTCATGACACCAGTGAATACTCTACCTTGAATCTGCTGAGCCCACGTCTATATACATGTCTGAAGTAATTTCAGCTCTGCTCCACTTTCCTTTACCTCCTTGACCTAATAAAAGCAGCTAAAACATCACTCACTCATTTAAGCAATAACGAAACCATCAATGGCAGGAATTGCAAATGAACCTACGCCATTAATCATCAAAATCTAGGGTGGTTTCTATGGACCATACTAGAAAAGAGCATTGTTAGCTAAAGTATTTTGTATGCAAACACATATTCATTATCCTGTGTCCATTTCTTTGCTAAACCCGCAAACTGAAACTTTTTAAACTGTAGCGAGGAAAGAAGCAGGAGCAAGGCTAGAAGCAGCAGTTAAAGCACCAAATATCGAGTCAACAAAAACATGTTATTCTCAGTTTCGACTTCCATTGCCACATTTCAACCATATTCACACACAAAATTACCAGATGAGCATTATGAAAAAGCATAAGAGCCTCACCTAACATACACTTAGTTGTCTTCCCTCAATCCGTCTGTTTGTCTATCGCCATGGTCTCCGACAACTGCAACGCGGAATGGAATCTGCCGTTAAGCGAGCTCTTCCACCGTCCCGCCCCCAGAAAATGGTGGTGAATCAGTTCAGAAGGAAACCCTCCTTCCGCCATCAGCAAACTCGGAGACGGCCTCCACGTCGAGATTCTGATTCCCCTCCCCAATCCCAGATCTGCCTTCCTCTACAAACCCGTCTGCAAGCTGTGGAGCTCCCTCATCTCCGATCCCAGCTTCAATCACCGTTTCGTTGCTCGCTACCAGAGCATGAACCTGAACCAATCGTCGTTTCAGTGAATCAAAGCCGAATCGGGGCGAGGGAAGTGTAGAGATTCGGAAGCCTACCTTCTTCGGGTGATTCATAATGCGATATGCATGCGCCTATATCCCAGAAATTGTAGATCTGAAGCTCCGCGTGCTCATCGACAAGGCCACACCTTCGGCCGCCGGCAAAGTGGGCCAGCTTCGAAGACCCCAAATCGACCAGATTTCCCAGAAACATCAAACGATTAATGGAAAGAGAGAATGAAACTATGTTATTCTGTTTCAGTGGGATGGGAAGGGTTGCAAAGAAATGAAATTTTGTTTTGGCGGATAAAAACAGGGTGCCGTCGCGGTTCTGTTTGGAGCTCCATCGTTGGATTGTCGTTTTTTTAGGGTAGGATTTGGGATTTTCGTGATGGTTTCGTTATCCTTTTCACTGGAACGATGGTGAGGAAATGGGTGGATCTGAGGAAGAATGAAGGATGCGAATGAGGAAGGTAAAGTTACCCTCATTCTATTGTCCTGTACGACATCGTGTTCCATCCGGTCAAGCCTTTCCTTTTTTTTCTTTGTGTTTTAATTAGCATTTCCTATTTCAAAGCTGCATAAATTAATAAATTCATGATTTGGTGGGAAAATCTTTTTATTTGGTTCAAGGTTTGGGAAAATCCAAAACAAATAAATGGCGTGATAGTTTGGGGGAATGAAAATTTATATTCATTGTTTCTTTATTTTTTTTCAAATTCTAAACCTATGTCCTCAATTTACGTATCTAGAAAATTGTTTAAAGTTACTGCTCATATAAACGAGGTTCTTTTTTCGTATAAGTTCATTAGATTAAGATCTACTTAGGATTCGGGTTTAAACCCGTTCAAGAACTGAGGTACCCGCCCCCGCCCCATTGCCATCACTATCGACTCGTGGATACCCGCCCACACCTTCGGGTTTATACAGATTCACTAAATAACTGGTTAGGTTGAGATTGCTCGAATTCTACAGATTGGTGGTGAAAATTTTGTATGGGAAATTTTTGATTCAGGGTTCAGGGTTTAGGGTCCAGGATTTAGGGTTTATGGTTCAGGGTTTAGGGTTCAGGGTTTATGGTGCAGGGTGCAGGGTTTAGGGTTTAGGGTTTAAGGTTCAGGGTTTAGGGTTCAGGGTCTAGGGTTTAAGGTTCAGGGTATATGGTGCAGGGTTCAGGGTTTAGGGTTCAGGGTTCAAGGTTTAGGGTTCAGGGTATAGGGTGCAGTGTTCAGGGTTCAGGGTTTAGGGTATAGGGTTTAGGGTTCAGGGTATAGGGTTTAGGGTTCAAGGTTTAGGGTTCAATTATCAATTATATAATTCTATGTCCATATTTTATTGCCTCAGAGGTTGTAATTTTTTTGTAAATGTCTAATTGGGCACCATATATAAAGGCGTAGAACACAACCTATAAGAATGGCACTTGAGCTGATAAGAATAGCGAAGGCCTTCTTATTAGTTAAAATCTTCAGCCAATATCACTTACCCAATCCATGTAAAATCATTCTCCATGAGACCATGACTTAGTAAACTATAAAAAAAGGTCGAAGGTAAGTGATTACTCTTTTGTCAGACCCACATCCTATATCGTAGGACCAGTAAGATCGACAACAACTCTCTAATTTGATGCTGCAGATTGACGACATAATTGATGATTAGCTAAAGAGTACTTCTCCGTTAATTCCAACCCCAAAAGGATGATACCGTACACTAAACTGGCAGGAAAGAGAAACCCTTTCACAACCTGCAAGGACCAATTCGAAGGAAAAGGAGACAAGAAGCTAATTGGATGGACATGGAAGAAGATTATTCACTATTTCTACCACATCGACAAATGGATAAGAACACACATTCACTTACCTATATAATAGTAGCGGTGTCCATTGGGAAACACCAAACCATAATTGGACTTTCTCGTGGCCCATTCCATCGAAGTTGGCCAAGAGTTCTGTCTAATTAGGGCCCGACGAGTAGAAGAATTGAAGAACTCTTTTTGCAGTTGAGGGCTTGAGATCAGAAACAACCAACATTACTACCACCGAAGAGGCCCAACAGTGCAGCAGGCGCGTTCTCCCGTTGGCCGGCTAGTTGTAAGTTTGGGCTGTTGATAGAGGCCCATTAGTTGGGTTTGGCCGGCCAGAACACACATTCACTTAAACCATAGAAATACAGTCTATCAAACACAAAAATGTTTGCATAAAAAAAAAACCAAAACCAAAAAGGATCACGAAAACGTTTCCGCTTCCTCTTCCCTTCGGCGCCTCTGTTCCGTTCCCGGCGAAGACATCAATCAGACACTGGTTCATTGCATGGTCGGGTTTGGCTGTCCTCCTATCTGCCTGACCGACATTATTCTCATCCCCAAGAGTTGATTCTCAAGATTTTGCCAGCATCTCACATTTATATTTTCTTTCCTCTCATCAACAGCAGCGAAGGTTTATCAGGCCTCTGAGAAGCTCCAGTCGCCGGTGGAGAGAACCATTCCACAGGTGCGTTAGTTTCCATGCTTTTTGAAAAAATGTGGTTTCATCTATTGAAATAAGGGACATGATTAGTTCTTCTTGATTCGATTTAACTTTTATGCATTGATTCGATTAAACTGAATCTGGAAAACTCCTTAGTTGTTGCAGATGTCTTTAGTTGTGTGCTGGATTTTGTTTGAGCTTTGTATTACAAAGTAGGCTCAATTTTGAGGTTGCACTGATAGGTTGCACAACTCTCCTGGCAACGATTTTTCCATCCCATCTGGAGGTTTCCCATCGCTGCGTGTGCCAGTTGTAGTTGTACCACATCTTTGATGTCTGCATAATTATTTGTACTTCCGAACATTCTTTTATTTTGATTTTTCCTTGCATGTCTTTGTTTCTGATGCCTAAGATGTGTCTTCTCTTCATTTGTACATGATTATTTGATTAGTGTCGGAACTCTATCCTGTTTTGATATAGTCGTTAAGAGTCTCTTTGGTTTAATTCAACTGAAATACGAATTGGTTATTAATTCAACATTGCAAAAGTAATATGCACTGTGGTCCCAAACAACAACTAACATAGTTTGTTTTTATGATTCTAAAAATGGCAGATACTGCCAAAAATAGAGATTGAGCAGAAGGAAATCAGTGTGACATATATTTGAAGATGGACATCATACCTCAATGGAACCCGTAAGTAATGGTTTCCCAACCAACTCATAATAAACCATATTCTTGTGTTCTCATAACTACTCAATACAATTGCTAATAATCTAAATTATAGGTTTTTTACCCTGGGAGATGATTTTGTTACGAATCTAAATTATCAAAATGTCGTGGCAATGTCTCATACCGTTGAAACTATAGATCTAATCCCAAAGCAATTGAATGGTGATGATCAATTGAGTAAGATAAGACGTTTGTTATCTATCCTTCTCTATCTCTTATGTGATTGATTTGCATCTGATTTGTTTATTTTTTTCAAATCATCATCTTTTGCATTATATCAAGGCAGTTCGTACATTTTCTCTGGCGTTGTAACAGAGCTGAGGAGATCTTGGTGTGATGCATCCAGAGTATACTTGATTCACTTGACCATTGAAGATGACATTACTGATGTTGAGGTCGTGTTCCCATCATCACACTTACGGAGAATCATTTCTTCTGTAGTCAGTCCTTCTGAGATTGACAATGTCGATTATGTTACACTTCTCAACTTGATTGGTGACAAGTCATATGAAGTCATGGTCACAATCGGTCCTTGGAACAACATGGGGAATTATTTTGATCTATTCTTGGTTAAGTTGTTTCTGCCTTTAGATAACTAAGTAGCAATTGGGTATTATTAATATGATCGGATTAATGTTATTAATTGTCCACCTCTCTGTAATCTCTCGTGTTCTGTAAGTGTAATGGATATGTGAACGCTAATATCTTTTGTAAGTTTATTATCCTTTTGAGGGGTGCTTGATGTAAAATATGAATTTAAATTAGTTATGGTACTTTGAACAAATTAGTATTAGTAGATGTGACTTGATTGCTTTTGTCAACAGTGGTAGTAAATTCGTTTGTATTTGCATTGAGTTAACAACGTGAGAATTACACAACAAACCTACTATTAATGCATTCTAGTCCCAAATCTCTTCGATTCATTATATGAGCTAGTGTAGTGAGTCTGCCAACTGTCCAACCAATTTAACAAAAATAAAAAATAATGGATAATTCACAAAGGCAACAAATGGTAGTTCAAAAGTGAAAAGATCCTTTGACACATTAGCGTGTGTAAACAAGCACCAAAGCCATATCAGCGTGTGTAAACCATCAGACCAAATCCTCTTTTCAATGCGACTCCCGTCTAGGATTTTGATTCCTGTAAACCTGATGACAACAACAGTCATAAGAGTTATAAAGCAGTAAAATTGCTAAATTAAAACATTCAAATTGAAGAGTGAAATGGGAATAACCATAAAGTGAATGACTTGATATGTGGTGAAGCATATCTAATGATCAACAGAAGAATCAGATCGATATGGAACAAGAGATTTTTTGCTCACCTGCCGGCTCGGATTTGGTCAGAGCACAATGCAAGTGGCTAAACTGGTGTTTCAAAGACCTGGTCTTTGATTACTCGTTTCATCTTGAAATAGTTTACTTGACACTTGACACTTGTCTCGGAGAACGGCCTACAAAGTTGCCCCTGCCTATAATATGAACCTCTTCCAACGAGTTGCCAAAAAAACCACCTTTGCTGCTACTACTACTATGTCTCTGTTGAAATCTTCTGCCCTTGGGGAGATGACGCCTGCTAGTCCCCGGGTTGTTTCGCGATTGCGTGATGCCGGATGAAGGACATACAGAACCATTAGGTCAATTGAATTCCAGTTCTCTTTCAGGAAACCATTTCCCATCAAGAGACTGCATAAAGGAACAGAAACAGTAGTAAGAACCTCACTCTTTATCACTACAGTCTACAAAGTAACAGCAAAAGATATCACGTAAATGCAAAGATGCATACACCTGTCCATCAAGAGCGGCAATGGCATCGTTCATCTCCGTCTCATCAGCCATTGTCACAAACCCGAACCCACGTGAGCGGCCGCTGTCCCTGTCATACACTACTCGAGCATTTGTGACCTTGCCGTGCTCGCTGAAGACTTGCTCGAGGCGAGAATCATCGACACTCAATGGTAGGTTCCCAACGTAGACTCTGCAACCAGGTTCGAACACACGGGGAGCCCGCTCCGGCCTTGATCCTCTTGGAGCAGCTTTGTTAACTATCAAGAACCTCCCTCCCATGTCCTGTGTACATCACCAAGTTGAACTCAGTTGAAGGTATATCAAACCAAGTTTGCTCAGAGAGGAATGCCATTAGTTCAAAAGTTCATGAATATCCTACTAACATACAGACAAGTCAATGATGGCTGAGTGGAACATTCCACACAATAACACCTTTCATTGAAATGCAGCATAGTATTATGGACCAGAAAGTGAAAGTACTTATTACGTCAAGCAACTATTTAAGAACACACTTTCAATGAACCGAACCTCTCTAGCTGGAAGATACTAGAGTTGTACCAATTGAGAGAAAAATTAACAATTCAAAGCAAAAATGCTCAATTGCAAATAAGTTCGCTAATTCCAGCCAACCCAACAAGATTATCAATCTCAAAGCTTACATTCGTCGAATTTTAGCAGTAAAGACTCAATCTTTCAATGCAACTGACAGAGGCCCAAATTGTTTAGCTATCAGTTAAATACCCTTGCACAGTTTTCATTCTCACACTACTATCCTCAGCCCCATACCAGCAATCAATCGTCAAAAACAGATGGCAAAGAAACGGTGAACTTACATAGCTGTTGAACTTATCGACAGCCTTCTCAGCTTCTTCAACAGTACTCATGGTCACAAATCCGAAACCACGGCTGCTATCAGTCTCCCTGTTGTAAATGACCTGCCAACAAACAAAAGAAAAAAGAAGATTTCACAAAGATGCAAATTAGAAGTTAAATCCCAGTAAAAAAGGTGAAGTAATCCATCGAAACAAACCTCAGCAATCTCTACAGTTCCAGCTTGCTCGAAGAGCATAGCCAATTTCTCACTATCCACATCGTACGACAAGTTACCGACGAACACTTTGGCATCCTCCGACGGCTCCTGCGCCTCAATTGCATCATCCCCATCTTCGGCGGCGGCGTAGGAAGCCACCGGGCCCTCTTCGGCTGCCGAATCCTCACCTTCTTCTTCCTGTTCCGAGTCAGCAATGGTGGATGTAGTGTTCTGCTCATCCTGTTGCGCCCAATCGGAAGTCTGGGCTACGAAGGGGATAAAAGAAGGGAAATGGAGGTGGGTAGTGGGTTTGAGAGATAGGGAGTGGGAGAGATGGAGTTTGAAGGGTCGAGATGGGATTGATAGAGAGAGGAGAGGATGATCTGGGCGGAATCAATATGAAGGTGGAGGGACAGTCGGGACGAAGAAGCATCGCATCACTGTCCTAATCGCCGTCGTTACCACCGTAATCCTGACACTGTTCTCTTCTCCCGCAACCCTAGTCACCATTCCAATCGCCTACGTCACTATAAAACCATCATCTCTCTTATCCGGCAATCCCACGTTCCGTAGAGACCCACATCCAAGCGAAATCTCCCTCCTCCCTGCAAGCTTCTGAACAATCGACGGATCAATCCTCTTCCCTCTCCAGTCAAACATATCAAACCCCACCGCCGCCACGATTGAATTCTAACCTAGGCTCATAATTAAATCCTTACCAATTGAGGCCCCTCTCCGCCGGAGCTCGAGTGCCGCAACGAATTCACCAGCAGCCTCTGCCTGGCATTGATGGAGATCAGCTCCAACTCATTGGTGTCTCCCGGAATTCCAAACTCCAAGCTAGAGCATTCAATCAGCATGTGTATCGGCATCTTTGAGAATCAAGCCGCAATGGATTTAAGGGTAGTAATTGGGGTTGCTTTGATGATGACAATAACCTTTGAGTGGATGATGACAATGAAGTTTTGATTCATTAACAATTCCAGCCAAATTTTAATGGAGAATCTTTTTTATCAATTGTATAAAATTTGCTGTTGAATAATAGAACTCTAAAAAATAAGGTATCACACGAGAAAACATTATGGTAATAATTGTTCGGGGACTTCATAGCACATATAATTATTTAAGGGGTGTAGTTTGTAATCATAATTTTATTAAATATATAATTTTAATATAATTAATACTAGCCGTTAGATTAGATCAACGATCTGAGGACCTGGAGCATGCTATGCGCCTATATGTGTCAAAGTGAACCCGTCGGGTTGAAGCGGGTTGCACTTTTTGGTCTTTTCCCATTTTAGCTCTGATACCAATAATTCTACGGTTCCAAATTTCTAAGTTTCTGTGTTTCATATCTTGTTTTTTTGAGGAGTCTCAATCGTCTCTTTTTAAAAAGCTTACTAAAGAATCTAATCATTCCTTCTTTTCCTTGTTTTCTGCAACAAGTCTTATTCTTTCTTTTTCTTTCATGGAATGGCCCAAATAAAGGTGGTTAATTTTCATTTTGTTGTTTTTTGGTTTATCTATTTTCTAGTTTCTGCTTTATTTTTTTTAGACTAGTTATTATATCGGTAATTGATTCAGTTTTAGATACGGCTTCCTCTAGTGTTTCTGAATTTCCGACAGACATTTGTTCTTCTACAATATCTGATACGAAGTGAGATAATTCTAACGTAACCGTATTAATGTCGCCTACTGATGTAAGGTCTATTGCATCTATTCCTTCTATCAATTTATTTATGTAATAAGTGTTAGGCATCTTTACATTTTTTCACTCATTTCTACGATTAGTTCTTGTAACTTTTTTTATTTCACTAGTATTATCATTTTGATGAAGTATAGTTATGTTTTTTATTTCCTTGTTTTCTTCTTTCTCCATTTCCTTCTGCTTATTGGTTAATCTCATGGAAGAACTTCTCTTATCTATACTTATTCTTGGATGATCATAATTTGATTTTATTATTTTTAGAGGGGATTCTAATTGAATTAATGGTTTGAATAAATCTTCTATGGTGATGGCTTCCTTATCTTTGAACGCTAGACTATGATGACTATTGGTCAGTGCATAGTTTATTTGGTATGTTACCGAAAAAGGTTTACTGTTTTCTTTCATGAAATTTTTTCTTTTCAATTCATACTTTATAATAATGGAAGAGTCGAGATTCCCATCTGTTAAACTAATTCCTTGTTGTAGATTAATATCGAATTTGATTATTCCTACTCCTAGATTTCCTTTTCCTTTTGCAATAATACTCTCTTCTCTATTGATGAGTCGATCATCTCTTATTTCTAGTTCTATAGGTGCACTTATCCCTGTTTTCATAGTAGATTTTAGAATAATTTGTATCGTGCTAATGTGAATATAAGCTATTTTATTTCTTTCTTCCTGTTGTAACTTGGATAATTTTTTCCTAATTTGTTCCCTATTTATTATTTGAATTAGGAAATCTCCCTTAGTTTGTTCTATTGGTACTGCCGTTTCTCTTATCATTTTTCCATATTTAATTATATTTTTTCTATCAAATAGTTTGGATAAAAAAGACTTAGTAATAAAATTTTGCGTTTCTGATAAGGTAAAATTAGTTTGTTCCTTCATTTTCTTGACATCTAATATTCCATCTAGAAAATAATTTTCTTCCTCATTTTTACTTAAATAATCAAAGTAACTGTTACTACTACTGGGGTTATCCGACATACCTGATCGTTTCTTAGGTTGATTGATGCAACTTTTTGCTACTGAACGTCCCCATGATGGTGTGGTGCGAGGGAGGCTGATTGCTTATGATCGTTGAAAATGGTGTTGTAGAATTCTTTGTGGTGTTAATGGTTGGTGTATAGTTTTTTATGGATAGGTGGTAGTAGATATGAGCGTCTCCAGAGTATTATCTCAAACGCTCTGTGTCGAAGCACCAAGACTACACTTAGTCTTTTGAGAGAGAAGTTTCAAGCTTCTACAGTGAGGAGAAGTGTTAAGACTGATTCTTCTGTCTTTGTCCTATAGTTGCTTAAGAACCACCCCCTACCAGCTACTTGTCGTTAGTGTAATTCTAATGCCCTATCCCCTCTCTCTTCTCCCGGAACCGCGGGTTAACCCTAAGCCGAATGAACTCCTAAGCCCAATTCACCCGGTGTAACCAGCCCAATCCTGTCTAACCACATTCGGTGTAACCACATCTGGTCTAACCACCAAATCCGGTATAACCACAAGCAGAATACCAACGAATATCCTATCATTATCTCCTAAGCCCCGGTCTAACCCTAAGACGAATTCTCTTCGGATACCCTACTAAGCAGAATACCCTTCGCAGGATTCCCGTCGCTGAATAACCTCCCTCCCTAAGCCGAATAATAGCCCTCCCTAAGCCGAATTCACCCGGTGTTTCCACCACAATCTGGTCTAACCCCGGGTAACCCTAAGAATTGTCTCCTAAGCTGAATACTAGCCCTTTCAGGATACCAACGAATACCCGTCGCAGAATTCACTCCTAAGCCCAATGAACCGGTGTAACCACCAGCAGAATACCTATGAATTATCTCGTAATAGAACCCTCAGCCGAATACCCTAAACCGAATACTCGTCGCAGAATGAACTCCTAAGGCGAATTCACCCGGTGTGAGATGGGGAGGATCCTTTCATAGCAACGACAGAGACGGAGTAAATAGGAAATAAAGCCGATGTGAGGAGTATACTTCTATTGGTGAAGCAATACCACATTCTCAATACCCCGGCAGACATCGATGTAGGGTTTCGTTCTTCTCTCCTAAGGTTTATTATGAGCCCGTAGGGCGAAGGTTTATTATGAGCCCTAAAAGCGGGCGAAGGTTTATTATGAGCCTGTAGGGCGAAGGCGAATTCACCCGGCCTCAGGCTCACATTCTCTCCGTCGCTAGATTCCCCTCGCCTTACAGTCGAGCATATTCTAACCTCGCAGAATATCCCATTAGCTTGGATTTCATAAGATCGCTTTATTTGCATCATAGCATGCTTATAATAGGTACCTCTGATTGATACAAGTGATTAGAGTATATTGACTTCTTCCTGCTGTTATCGTTTATCTAAATGGTTGCTGGAACATCTTGCTTGTTTATTTATATAACTTCTAGATATAGTTTAATAGAGACTTGTATAGATCTTCTTAGGTCAACGACTTGTATAGATCTTCTTAGGTCAACGAGTAGACTGAAGAAGAGATGGATTAGACCAACCGCGAGGACAGACAATGTTCAATGGTAGGCCTCAGTGTCCACAGGAAATAGAGAAAATGTAAGATCCCGTTCCGGCAAAACCCGTATTTCGATCGCTAGAAAGTTCGCGATTTAAAATCGAGCGTTTTAACAGTATTTCGACGAAAATCGGATTATCGATCGGATAAGTATACGTATTAATTATATATATATATATATATATATTAGTAAGCGGTCACATATATAATCTCCCCGTCCCATTTTCCTTCTCCATCACGTTTTTCCATTTTCATCCGCGAGAAGCAGTGAAACAGAGGCGCACAGGGCATCGTGAGGGGAAATTACAAAGCTCAAATTCTTGAGCCCTAGTGATCCAAAAATCCCGTAAGTAATGCCTAATTCATCTATACATCGTGATTTATCGATTTAGAGCTTTAAAATGAGTTTTTGGTTCAGGAATTTCTTGAATTCCCTGAATTTCGGCTATTATTTAGGCCGGGGTCCAAACCGCTGAATTTAGCTCCGGCCAGGGTTTGATGTGTTTTTATCGAGAATTTGACCCGGAGCCCAGAACTAATATTGACGGGGATACTGCAGGGAATATTAGGACGGTCTCAGATTTTAATTCGGGGTTCGTTCGTGAAATTGACGTTTTAGTACGGGAAGGTTAAACCGGTGTTTGAACGACCAGAACTGGTGAGGGATTAGCACGGCATACCGGGTTTGTCGTATCACGATAATTATATTGATGCTTAGAATTGACCTAGGTGAACTAGAATTGCATGATTAGGGGTGTATGGACTTTCGTGCTATATGATGAACCCTGGACTGCTGTATGATATTATTGACTTGCCCTAATCGATATGGACCTTGTCTATGCTGATGATTGCATACATGTTGCCATTTGTGGCTTAACTGTTGATATGACTTCATGGTTGTTCGATAAGGTGTTTTGACATGATGTGATATTGTGGTTGTATTTGGATTCACAAGTGGGGGAAATAAACTTCCCAGGGTGATATTATGATGTTTTAAGGAGGATGACTTGCACGAGGGTTTATCCCGAGGAAGTGCAACTATACGACTCCTGGTTTACCTATGTTGAGCCAATTATGGTCAGGTCAAGTACATGTGCAAGTAATGAATTATGATTAAGCAAGATGAGATATGAATCATGTATAAGGATACCAAATATGAGTGTTGTGGTCTCACGGTCAACTACATAGTAATTAGGGCTCCCTATGCTATTACTCTATTATGATATGTATGATAGTCACACCTCTCATGTGGTGGTGACTGAAGAATTCTTACGAGATATGACCACACCCAGAGTGGTGTCGGGGTATGACTACACCCATAGTGGTGTGGGGTATATATGACCACATTCGACGGGATGTTGGGGTATGTATGACTACATCCGACGGGATGTGGGGTATGTTTCCCGGGAGAGTTATTAGTATAGGTGTCAAAATAGAACCCGACCCGTTTAACCCGCCCGACCAACCCGACCTGTAACCCGCCCGCAACCCGAATTGACTAAAAGTCAATGACCCGCAACCCGCCCGACCCACAACCCGATTGACCCGCGACCCGATTTACCTGTAACCCAACTAACCCGCAACCCGTTTAACCCGAACCCGATTGACCCGTAACCCGATTGACCCGCAACCCAATTGACCCGCAACCCGATTGACCCGAACCCGACTAACCCGCAACCCGCCCTATTAACCTAAAAAATTATTTTATTATATACTATATAATATAGCAAAGGGAAGTTCAAAAATAAAGAATTATTATTATCTTTCAAAATAAAGTTTTTTGCTCTATACCCATGTAAAGCCAAAATTTTCATTTCGTAAATGGAAGTTTAAAATATGAAATTCAATTGAAATTATGCATTAAAAAAATAATAATAATAAAACATGAAGAAAACTTAGCAACATACAGTGATATAAACGTAGGCGTATAGCATATGATGGCACACGTTAGTAAGTAGCATGAATATCTGGGTGTGAGTGGTTACGGCTTTAGCATTAGTTACAATTAACATGAGAAAAAACTTACGGGTATGGAGTCCCTCAAATAAAATTAAAACAATCAAATAAGTTGCAAATAATTGGAGCCAAAATTTAGGAGGGAAATTTGGAGCCAACTCTAGGAAGAATCAACATGGGGATGCAGAATTTCACTTTTCAGCCAAAAATAATATCCTTTTACCATTAGTTTAATTAACATGGGGAAATTTTGGCGGGTATAGAGAGTCCCTGAAAAGTCAAAACAACCAAGTAAATTGCGGGAGACCAAAAAATTGGAGCCAAAATTTAGGGGGAAATTTGGCGGCAAATATGGGGGATGCAGGACGTTGTTTTGTACATTGTTAGCCAAAGAAATTTTCTTATTATTTATCAAAACTAAATTTTCTCATTATTTACCAAAACTAAATTTTCTCATTATTTACGATATTAGGAGCATTAATCATTTATCACGAAAAATGAAGAAGAAATAACATATTAATTAATTCTTGTGACTATAATTACAATTACAATTAATCATATAGCAAGTAATACAATTGCAATAATTCGATCATCTAAAATATATAACAAATTGAATTATGACGATTAAGGAGTTCAACATTTAATGACTAAGACATTGTCTATAGTAAACCTTATTATAGTCTTTAAGGGCATAAGATTAATTGGATATAGTAGATTTGTGAACATATCATCAGTTAAGAGTTTAACATTTAGTAGCTAAGACATTGTCTATAGTAGAATCTATCATGAGTCATCTTATCATAATATACCAATCGCTATCGTTATAGTACACATAACCTAACACCCATTATATGAACTAGTTTAGGAACTCTAATAAGCAACATATTAGTTTGAATATATATATATATATATATATATATATATATATATATATATATATATATATATATATATATATATATATAATTGCTTATAATTTGATAACTAAATTAACCATTAGTTACAACAATCATTGTTTTAGAAAAAATCACTTAATTCTCTACTTGTTTTCTATGCTTCTACATTTATCGAAACTTCAACACACATTATCGTTATTTTATAAACTTGAGTAAAACTTTGGCACATTTAAGTTTGTGTTCAAGTTGAATTTTGATTTCAAAATGAGAGTTAAACCTGGTATAAGATATTGATGGTTTAGGGTATAAGGTACATATGGTTTAGGGTGTATATGGTTAGGGTATAAGATATTGATGGTTTTGACGGTTCTAAGTTTTTTATTAACATATGTTCACTTGAAGTCATTTGAAGTCTTTAACGGCAGCAGTTCTCTTTTTAATTTATGTTTATGGTACATGGTTAGGGTACAAGGTATGTGGTGTAAAGTATAGAATATATGGTTAGGGTATAACAATTAGCAAATATCACTTTTTATCTATGTTTTGAAAATCAAAGTATGAATTTCACTTTTAAATTAACTATTCTAGCAAAATCACAACTCAAGGACATATGATTAGGGTATAGGTTATGTGGTTAGTGTATAATGTATTGATGGTTTAGGGTATACAATCAACAACATATACTAACTTAATATTGTTGATTGAGGGTAAAGCTAAGTGTATAGGATATATGCTATTGAGTAAATTATGATTGAAGTCACAATAATTTTACTAAATTTGATAGCTAATCTTTAATGGTTCAATTTTTAGGATAATTCGAACAATTTTACAAATAACTCGTTTGGCAACAGTTTACTAAAGTTATTTGGGCAATGAGTTATTTTGAAATAACTCCTTTTATCACTATGCTTTTGCCAAATACCATACGCAATACTAGATTTGCATGGTTATACTAAACGAGATACTTTAATCCAATTGCTACTGAACTAATACTAAAATATCAAATAAACAATTAACGGTGTCTTTTGGTTGCAAATATTGATATCACCATTACTATTAGCTATAATACTTTACCAATTATGATTAATTACATAACAAGTTTGCAAGTCATACAAATTGATTTAACATTTTGACTAGTTTTTTTTCAAAAAAAAAAAAATAAAGTATATATATACGAGGTAGATATAAATTGGTTAAAAAGTTGAGAAAATATTTTAAATTAGTGTAATAAAATGTGTAAGTTGGTAATGAGTAATGAGTTAAGTTACTTGATGCACTGGCCCGAACAACCCGAAACCCGACCCGCCCGCAACCCGCCCGACCCGAAACCCGATGAACCCGCAACCCGATTGAACCCGAACCCGATGAACCCGCAACCCGACTAACCCGCAACCCGTTTGAACCCGAACCCGATGAACCCGAACCCGATGAACCCGCAACCCGACTATCCCGCAACCCGTTTGAACCCGAACCCGATTGAACCCAGCCCGAACCCGCCCGAACCCGCCCGATTGACACCTATAGTTATTAGCATGGGAGTAGCCAGGCGCCTATGATTAAAACATGATAAGATGCATATGCATAAGTCAAAGTGGTTGAGTCTTTTGCCTATTGGGATATGAGGATGGCTAAGGACCGATCCTAGTATTTTGGCTTGATTGTTAGATGTATGATAGGGGTATGCTCTGTTATGAACTCACGATGCTATGATTATCTCACTCAGCTATGAGCTGACCCTCTTTTATTCTTCTTCTCTGCTTATGCTATGTGTAAGCAGATCATCAACAACAGCAGTAGATAGGTGAATAGGTGGGAGTTGAGCAAGAGTTGAAGGCAAGATGAGGTATGGTCTTCAACCATTATGTGCTTGGACTACTACTCGGGATTTTGGCCAGTGATCCACACCTTTTTGTAAAAGAATGTTTTGAGAACGTTTTTCATGTGCATACTAACTTCTGATGTAGTGTGAGATATCCACAGGTGTGGAAAGTTAATGATATGTGTATATGTTGTGTAATTGTGTAAGTTGTGACGATTATGGTATGTATAAGTATGGTATGCAGTTGTGGAATATGAAAAGTGTGACTATGGCTAAGAAAAGCCAATGCATATGGTTGTGAGTATATATGTTTGTGATGAATTATTTTGCAGGATAAGTTGCAAGAACTGTTAGCCCATTACGCGAGTAATTCATGTCGAAATTTTATTTAGGTAAATTTTGATAATTAATGTAACACCCAATTTTAATTCCGTTGCAATTGTATGAACAATATGATTAGGCAAACCGTATAGGGTAGGGTGTTACAGTTTGGTATCAGAGCCCGGTTCCCTCTTTTTGCTGTTATGGCGTACTATACCCTGTGGGAGGTTAAACACTCCTAAGGAGGGGAGTACCCCATAATGACTTAAACTGGGAATTGAGTTTGACATGATTATGTGTATTGGTATATTGGATGAAATTATCTGCATCATGGTTTTCATAATTGAGATTTGAACTTATTTGTTTTCAAGTAATTATTTTGGGAAAATTTTGTTTTAACCAAGTAAGAGAGTGGGTGAAGAATGAATTTTGTGTGGATCAAGCTAAGGCCAATATTTCCTTGTAGCTCGCACAGAAATTGTGAAAATGTTCCTACTGACCAGTCGAGAGGAGTGGGGGCGGTTGATGCAAGACCGCCAGTATTAGACTATGCAAAGATGAAGAGTTTGGGTGGTAGGGACTTTAAGGGAGATGTGAGCCCAGATGCTGTAGTAGAGTGGTTGAGAGAGATGGAAGATGTGTTTGAGTATCTTTATGCAACCCTAGAGGAAAAAGTTCAATATGTTGTTTTTCTCCTAAAGGGGTATGCAAGGAGCTGGTGGTCCTCAGTCTCTAGAGTTAATGGTGAACGAGTTCAGTTCACCTGGGAGGAGTTCCTGAAGGCCTTTAAGACAGAGTTTCTTCCCGAAGCTTTTATCAGGGAAAAGAATAATGAATTTGCCAACCTTAAGCAGGAGAATATGACAGTTACTGAGTACACCATCAAGTTTGTTCGACTGCTTTACTTTGAAGATGGGTTGGCGGATACTGAGCATAAGAAGAAGATGAGATACTTGCATGGTCTGCGCATAGGATTGAAAGAAAAGGTCCACAGGGTTGATGAAGAGAGTATGGCTACAATCAAGGAGGCAGCACTTAAGTATGAAGCCTATGAAGTTGAGAGCCGAGAGGAACACAAGGCTAAAGAAGAGGAGAAGAAGAGGAAGTTTGGAGTAAATTATGCTGGACCTCGTTACCCACCCAGGAGAGGTCCTAGCAGTTTTGAGAGAACAACAAGTCAATCTATGTCGGGAACATCATACAGGGCACCAATTTCCTCAGCAACACAATTTCCATTTTGTCAAGTTTGTCAGAAGAGGCATCTTGGAGAGTGTAGGAGATTTTCTGGTGTATGCTTTCACTGTGGCCAACCTGGGCACATCATGAGGGATTGTCCGCATTCGAGAGAAGTAAGAGCTACACAGTCCGAGCCTTCAGTGCAATTTAGTAGAGCCCCATTCAGGGGTGGTTACCAGGGAGGCCGTAGTGGATTTCAGAGTGGTCGTGGTGGTTCACAGGGTGGTAGAGGCGGTGGTCGAAATCAGCCATCAGGAAGTGGTACGCAGGGTACCAGAGCACAGGGAGCACCTAGGGTTTATGCAATGACTCGAGGTGAGGCAGAAGTGGCACCAGAAGTTGTGACTGGTATGCTCTCTATCCTTGGCAAGCAATTATATGCTTTGATCGATACTGGTTCCTCTCACTCATTCATGTCATATACGTTTTCACATATGCTACGCTTAGTTCCAGAGAAGCTAGGTTATACTTTATGTGTTAAAACACCTGTGGGAGATACCTTGAAGGTAGACTCAGTTATTAGAAGTTCCTTCATTTGTGTGGAGGGAGCTTTCCTAGCAGAAGATTTAATTCTGCTACCTTTTGATGAATTTGATGTCATCCTTGGAATGGACTTTCTGGCAACACATGGAGCTGTTGTGGATTGTCAAAAGAAAGAAGTGTTATTCAACACACCAGATAAAGGTCCTGTTGTATTCCGAGGCATTAAGAAAAAGGAGACTCGTGGTTTTCTTTCTGCCTTGGAAGCTTTTCGATTAGTGAAGGAAGGTTGTGAAGCCTTTCTTGCTCAAGTTACTATAGTAAATGATAAGAAGGTTGAGGATGTAGAGGTGGTAAGGGAGTTCCCTGATGTATTCCCCGAAGAACTTCCCGGCCTTCCACCAGAAAGGGAAGTAGAGTTTGATATTGAATTGGTACCTGGCACAACACCAATTTCAATGGCACCATATAGAATGGCACCAATTGATCTGCAGGAGCTTAAAGAACAATTGCAAGAATTGTTAGACAAGGGGTTTATTCGACCTAGCATCTCACCTTGGGGTGCACCGGTTTTGTTTGTCAAGAAGAAAGATGGCTCCATGAGAATGTGCATTGACTACCGGAGGTTGAATAAGGCAACAGTGAAGAATCGTTATCCCCTTCCAAGAATAGATGACTTGTTTGATCAATTGCAGGGTGCATCGGTCTTTTCTAAGATTGATTTGAGGTTTGGATACCATCAATTGAAAGTGGCAGATGGAGCAACCTCAAAGACAGCTTTTAGAACAAGATATGGGCATTATGAGTTCCTGGTAATGCCTTTTGGACTCACTAATGCACCAGCGGTATTTATGGCTCTTATGAACAGAGTTTTCCATGAATATCTTGATAAGTTTGTGATTGTGTTCATAGATGATATTCTCATCTATTCTAAAAGCGAGGAGGAGCACAAAACTCACCTTAGAATTGTGTTGCAAATTCTAAGAGAGAAACAATTATATGCAAAATTCTCAGAAATGTGAGTTTTGGCTGAAGGAGGTAATATTTCTGGGACATGTAATTTCTGGGAGAGGTGTCGAGGTGGATCCGAAAAAGGTGGAAGCAGTGGTGAGTTGGGCTCCACCAAAAGATGTGTCTGAGTTGAGAAGTTTTCTTGGCATGGCTGGTTATTATCGGCGGTTCGTAGAAGGATTTTCTAAAATTGCTGCACCATTGACTAAACAGTTGAGGAAGAATACCAAGTATGTTTGGGATGTATCATGTCAAAAGAGTTTTGATGAACTGAAAAAGAGATTGACCACAGCACCAGTACTTGCACTACCTTCAAGTCAGGGAGAGTTTGTGGTGTATAGTGATGCCTCGTATCAAGGATTGGGCTGTGTGTTAATGCAAGATGGAAGAGTTATCGCATATGCCTCTAGGCAATTGCGTCCTCATGAAGTAAATTATCCCACTCATGACTTAGAATTGGCAGCGGTGGTATTTGCTCTCAAGATTTGGCGACATTATTTATATGGTGAGACTTTTAAAATCCTAACTGATCACAAAAGCTTGAAGTATATTATGGATCAGAAGGATTTATATAGTCGCCAGAGGAGATGGATAGAGTTGTTGAAAGATTATGATTGTACCATTGATTACCATCCAGGTAAAGCTAATGTAGTTGCTGATGCTCTGAGCAGAAAAGGGAAGAAGAATATAAATGATCTGGTTGATTTGAGGGAAATGAATGTGGATTTGGAAGTGGATGGTGTAACAGGGTTACTAGCTCGGTTGAACATTCGACCTTTGTTGCACGAAAAAATTCGTGAGAAGCAGAAGGAGGACCCTGAGTTGGCAAAAATCATTCAAGACATTGAGGAAGGAAAAGAAAGCCCGTTTGAAATGGTAGATGGCATGTTGAAGATTAATGGAAGAGCATGTGTTCCTAATGTTGATAACTTGAGGAAAGAGATCCTAGTTGAAGCTCATTCTTCTCCTTATGCTATGCACCCAGGAGCAACTAAAATGTATCACACGATCAAACCATATTTTTGGTGGCGTGGGATGAAAAAGGAAGCGGCTGAACATGTTTTCACATGTCTGGTATGTCAGAAAGTTAAGGCAGAACATCAAGCTCCTGTGGGAAAACTGCAACCACTTCCAATTCCAGAATGGAAGTGGGAAAGAATCACAATGGATTTTGTATATGGTCTCCCACCATCAAGGGGAAAGGATGCAGTATGGGTTATTGTGGACCGACTAACCAAATCGGCTCACTTTTTACCCATTAGGTGGAAACCATCACTGGAGACTTTGTCTCAACTATATATTAAGGAGATCGTCAGATTGCATGGTGTGCCAATTTCTATTGTCTCTGATCGAGACCCAAGCTTCACATCTCGGTTTTGGCAAAGTTTACATGATGCCTTGGGAACTAAACTGCATTTTAATTCAGCTTATCATCCTCAAACAGATGGGCAGAGTGAACGAACCATCCTAACTTTGGAGGAATTACTTCGATCATGTGTAATGCAATGGGAAGAATCATGGATTGACCATTTGCCCCTAATAGAGTTTGCTTACAACAACCAATACCATAGTAGCTTGGGTGTTCCACCATATGAAGCACTTTATGGGAGGAAATGCAGGACACCATTATGTTGGGATGTAGAAGGAGCAAGGCAAATCTCAGGGCCAGAGATAGTTCAGATCACAGTTGACAAGGTCAAGGAAATCAGGGGGCGGTTGAGGGTGGCTCAAGATCGACAGAAAGTTTATGTTGACACGAATAGGCGTGAAGTTAATTTCGAAGTGGGTGAGAAAGTATTTCTCAAAGTGTCACCATGGAAAGGGGTGATGAGATTTGGTAAGAAAGGAAAGCTTGCACCTCGATATATTGGGCCATATGAAATCACAGAGAAGATTGGACCAGTGGCTTATAAGTTAGCATTGCCTCCAGAACTATCCCAAATCCACAATGTATTTCATGTTAGTATGCTGAAGAGGTACAAAGTGGATCCTTCACATGTTATACAACCAGAAGAGATCGAGTTGGGTTCAGATTTGACTTTTGAGGAGGTTCCAGTTGAGATTGTTGATTTTCAGATTAAGAATCTTCGTAGGAAGGAAATTCCAATGTTGAAGGTTGTGTGGAGGAATCAAGAAAGTGAGAGTGCTACCTGGGAGACTGAAGCAAGTATACGAGAGAAGTACCCTGAGTTGGTAGCGACATACTTTGCAGGTTAACAATCTTGCTTAGTAAGTTATGTTTTGAACTTGTTGATGTGCTTTTGTTGTGATAGCCCAGTATAGGTTTTTGAAACCTAAACATGGGAACTTGAGTGTTATGTATTACCTTCTATGTTATGAATAGCCTAACCAAATCGTTAGGTAATGACTTTATGTGTGATAGACCAAGTTAAGGGTAAGTAAGAGGAGTTAGAGTTTGACTCAAGGTTAGATTTTGGGGACGAAATCTCCTAAGGAGGGGAGAATTGTAACATCCCGTTCCGGCAAAACCCATATTTCGATCGCTAGAAAGTTCGCGATTTAAAATCGAGCGTTTTAACAGTATTTCGACAAAAATCGGATTATCGATCGATCGGATAAGTATACGTATATATATATATATATATATATTAGTAAGCGGTCACATATATAATCTCCCCGTCCCATTTTCCTTCTCCATCACGTTTTTCCATTTTCATCCGCGAGAAGCAGTGAAACAGAGGCGCACAGGGCATCGTGAGGGGAAATTCCAAAGCTCAAATTCTTGAGCCCTGGTGATCCAAAAATCCCGTAAGTAATGCCTAATTCATCTATACATCGTGATTTATCGATTTAGAGCTTTAAAACGAGTTTTTGGTTTAGGAATTTCTTGAATTCCCGATAAGCCAAATTAGGGTTTCGGAGTATCCGGAAGCCGGATTGAGCCCAAATTTCATATACGAGCTTCCTGCAGCGAGGTAATCAATCCTCTAGTTCTAATCCCTGAATTTCGGCTATTATTTAGGCCGGGGTCCAAACCGCTGAATTTAGCTCCGGCCAGGGTTTGATGTGTTTTTATCGAGAATTTGACCCGGAGCCCAGAACTAATATTGACGGGGATACTGCAGGGAATATTAGGACGGTCTTGGATTTTAATTCGGGGTTCGTTCATGAAATTGACGTTTTAGTACGGGAAGGTTAAACCGGTGTTTGAACGACCAGAACTGGTGAGGGATTAGCACGGCATACCGGGTTTGTCGTATCACGATAATTATATTGATGCTTAGAATTGACCTAGGTGAACTAGAATTGCATGATTAGGGGTGTATGGACTTTCGTGCTACATGATGAACCCTGGACTGCTGTATGATATTATTGACTTGCCCTAATCGATATGGACCTTGTCTATGCTGATGATTGCATACATGTTGCCATTTGTGGCTTAACTGTTGATATGACTTCATGGTTGTTCGATAAGGTGTTTTGACATGATGTGATATTGTGGTTGTATTTGGATTCACAAGTGGGGGAAATAAACTTCCCAGGGTGATATTATGATGTTTTAAGGAGGATGACTTGCACGAGGGTTTATCCCGAGGAAGTGCAACTATACGAATCCTGGTTTACCTATGTTGAGCCAATTATGGTCAGGTCAAGTACATGTGCAAGTAATGAATTATGATTAAGCAAGATGAGATATGAATCATGTATAAGGATACCAAATATGAGTGTTGTGGTCTCACGGTCAACTACATAGTAATTAGGGCTCCCTATGCTATTACTCTATTATGATATGTATGATAGTCACACCTCTCATGTGGTGGTGACTGAAGAATTCTTACGAGATATGACCACACCCAGAGTGGTGTCGGCGTATGACTACACCCATAGTGGTGTGGGGTATGTATGACCACATCCGACGGGATGTTTGGGTATGTATGACTACATCCGACGGGATGTGGGGTATGTTTCCCGGGAGAGTTATTAGCATGGGAGTAGCCAGGCGCCTATGATTAAAACATGATAAGATGCATATGCATAAGTCAAAGTGGTTGAGTCTTTTGCCTATTGGGATATGAGGATGGCTGAGGACCGATCCTAGTATTTTGGCTTGATTGTTAGATGTATGATAGGGGTATGCTCTGTTATGAACTCACGATGCTATGATTATCTCACTCAGCTATGAGCTGACCCTCTTTTATTCTTCTTCTCTGCTTATGCTATGTGTAAGCAGATCATCAACAACAGCAGTAGATAGGTGTATAGGTGGGAGCTGAGCAAGAGTTGAAGGCAAGATGAGGTATGGTCTTCAACCATTATGTGCTTGGACTACTACTCGGGATTTTGGCCAGTGATCCACACCTTTTTGTAAAAGAATGTTTTGAGAACGTTTTTCATGTGCATACTAACTTCTGATGTAGTGTGAGATATCCACAGGTGTGGAAAGTTAATGATATGTGTATATGTTGTGTAACTGTGTAAGTTGTGACGATTATGGTATGTATAAGTATGGTATGCAGTTGTGGAATATGAAAAGTGTGACTATGGCTAAGAAAAGCCAATGCATATGGTTGTGAGTATATATGTTTGTGATGAATTATTTTGCAGGATAAGTTGCAAGAACTGTTAGCCCATTACGCGAGTAATTCATGTCGAAATTTTATTTAGGTAAATTTTGATAATTAATGTAACACCCAAGTTTAATTCTGCTGCAATTGTATGAACAATATGATTAGGCAAACCGTATAGGGTAGGGTGTTACAGAAAAGTAAGACGGAAGCACGGGATATAGATCAACAGACTAAGATTCTACCTTTACCTCGGTGTCCTGCCTCTAAGCCTTCTTTCTTCTCCCTTCTATCTGTGGGTCCCGAATCCCGACACACTCTCGCCCCTTACGCTCCACCTCGCCCCTAAGACATAACCTCCGTGTTTTTTTCCTACCCTCTGTGCTTTTTCTCTCCCCATTGCTTCCTTCTTGCACTCGCTCTCGCCCTTAAACTCTACCTCTGTGTCCCGCTTCGCTGTCCTGTATGAAGGTTTCTGGGTCACACCACACCGTTGCACCTAAGGAAATGGCTCATAAAGTGGCTGTTCATCAGTCGGGCATTCAAGGGAAAGCAAATCTCCCGTGGAGAAGGTGTTGCGAAAGGAATATCGAAGAGTGGAAAATCAGGCTAAAAGTAAGCCAAAGGGACAGCGAGCAAGTCGGGTTACAAACGAGAAGGCACCAGATAAGACTGCGAGAAAAAGGGATGAAATCGAGTACTTAGAACGTCCAAGAGAGATCAGTTGATGTGCAACGATGGAAAATGGGTAACCCAGGGACCCCATAATAATAAGACGCTGGCTGCTGCCAGGGCTTGACGTGCTTCAGTCAATAGAAGGAAGATAGCTGTGTAGAAAGAGCAAGCGTAAGAGGAGCAGATGCATGAGGTGAATGTGGCGACTGACGTGGGCAACCAGCCCAAACCCCCAGATAAATCAAGGAATCGTAACAGAGGATCAGATATCCTTTCATCCCTGAGTCCCAGTATTCATTCCCGTAGATGGGGAGACGCAGATAGCACAGCTGCATGCCTCTAATGAGGCCCAGCTACGTGATCAGTAATCAAGGGTGTGCTCTTGGCTCCATATACCTTTGTGTTAATGGACTTTAGTATATTCTCTTGCAATTGCCAGGGTGCTGGCAGTAATTGTTTTTCTACGTGTGTTCAAGGTGTATGTCAGGAAGTTTCGGCCTAACATTTTTATAATCATGTAACCCCGTATCAGTGGCTCTCAAAGTTGTTGGTTGCATGGGGTTTGACCAAAAGCTAATAATGGTAGACGCGGTGGGGGGAAGAGGACGCATCAGCATGATGAACGTAAGAAAAGAGAGTGGTTCCCTACCACTGGAGATCGAGTACTACGATCAATACCTCGATCAGACAACTTCCAGAGCAAGAGAAGATTCTCTCCTTCATCAACACGCCGTGGATGCTCACGGGCGATTTTCACTCTATACTTAATAATTCAGAGAAGGCCGTGGGGAGCGCACTTTGACTCGAGTCGGGTGAGGGATTTTCAAGATTGCATTAATGACTCAGGGCTATTGGATGACGGATTCTCAGGTTCGGCCTTCACCTGGTTCCGCAACGGAGTCAAGGAGCGACTAGACCGGGGCAAAGACGACTGGTGGGGAGGAAGGGTAGAAAAATCCTATCCTTTCGTTCCTACCCTCAGTGCTTTAACACGTAACCTCTACCTAACACTCGCCCTTCTACCTCTACCTCCTACCTCTCCTTTCAGTCGAGTATATTTCATTCCTCTCCTTTCTTCCTTTCGTTCCTACCCGTCGTGCACCTAACCTCTGTGCTTTTCTCTCCCCATCGTTCTTGCACCCACTCTCGCTCCTTCCGTTCATGCATCACACCCGTGATGCACTCACTCCCGCTTTTTCAACATATCTCTATCTTTTATCTTATATAAGAGAGATATAAGAAATAAGATCTATTTCTAGTAAGAAAGATAAGATGGTACTCGTTTTTCCTAATCCTACTAATAAGAACCTAACAGAAGATAGATCAGGATATACCCTATACTGAATCCCGAGAAAGAGCTTTTGATGCATGCTATGCGTTGATCAGTATCACAAGGCAGAATCGGTATAGGGAATGTCAATCGAGCAACTACGGCCCGTCACATAGTGTAAGATCCACCTGGTCGGGTCTTTCTTCCTGGATAAATGTCGAGTCTATTTGGAATGCCCTTCCGTGGTTGGTTTGAACGACAGCCCTAGCGGTGGGAACGCCTTAGCGATTGGACGAGAGCAGAGAATTTCCTAAGAATAAGATGTGCTGCCTATGTCAAGCACCACTTCGACGGCAGAGAGAAGATTTCGCGCCTGGACAAAGGGTCGCCAGGTCTCCAAAAACCCCTCGTATTCAGCTCCTTCCTGAGCCCACATCTCCATGTCCTATCGATGCTTATCTCTTCCCCTAGCTCCGAGGACGCGTTTGCCTCTTCCTCCCCATCCCTTCCTTCTTGCACTCACTCACGCTCCTTCCGTTCATGCATCACACCCGTGATGCACTCACTCTACCTCTGCGCTTTTCCTACCCTGGGTTAAGTTCTTTATCCCGAAACAACGGGTTCTTTATACCGAAACAACGGGTTCTTTATACCGAAACTATTGGTTCTTTATACCGAGACTATTGGTTCTTTATACCGAGACTACTGGTTAGGATCTCTATCCCGGGGTGGGGGGGGTATATACATATATTGTCACCCTATAAGAGAAAAAAAAATTTATTTCATTCCAACATTCATGAGAGAAGGGAACATACATTGTCACCCTTATAGAGAACACACCTCTTATAGGCCTGTCCCTCGCAACAATGAGTAATGGCTATTACCCAATGATATAGTCGCCGAGAAACATGCTCTACTCAATTGATACTTAGAGGGGGTTTACGAGGTAAGGCACAGAGGAAGGCAGGTGGGGGTATATACATATATTGTCACCCTATAAGAGAAAGATGATCTACCTACTTCCCATCGTGAATGGAAGCTCTGCACCTAAGGAAGGCAGGTTACAGCTATACTGAAACATCTCTTATCACTTTTATCCTATAAAGAGACTATCCCAGGAACCTAAGGGGCGTAGCGAGAAATCAAAAGCTAATCTCATACCTCATGGTCTACTAAAAAAGGAAGAGTAGCTTGGTATTGGTTCGAATCCAATTCATGAGTAGTCGGCGTTATCAGCCCAACCCTCTGAAAAATCCTCATAGGCCCGTCCAACTTTACAATGAGTAATGACTATGAATAATATAGTCGCCGAGAAAACTATCTCTACTCAATATTGATACTTAGAGTTGGTACCGAGGTAAGGCCCAGAGGAAGGCTGGTGCTAAAAGCTATACTGACAGTACACATACTGACAGAAGCGAGTGAAGCGATTAACGACATGACAAATATACCTAATAACCAAAAGGGTAAACCATTGAGAATAGTAAAAGAAATCATGCAACAAATCATGTCCGTCAGTACCGTAAAGATAATACTTTGCATCCACAGAAAGAATGAGTATAATATATATCAGTCTCGAAGAACTTTATATCCAGTAAATCTAATATCTTAGGCACGTATGGCATCAACAAACAATGAGAAAAAGAAAAAACAAGAAATGAAAGAAGAAATTATGAGAGAGAACAAAAACGTAGGGATTAAGAACGAAAAGCTGAAGATTAAGAACGAAAAGCAACAGATTAAGAACGAAAAGCTCGGGATTAAGAACAAAAAGCTCGATAAAGAGAACAAGATGGAGATGGAGATGGAGAACGAAAAGCTTCATATTAAGAACTAAAAGCATATGGAGATGCTAGATAGGGATATTTTACCACCTGGTAAGGACCTAACTATTGAGATTGGTTTTAATGAAGAATTGGATAAATTGCTGAATTCTCTATCCTTAGAGAATGATTTAGGGTCAGATGAGAAAACCAACCCCAGGAGAGAGGCTCAATAAGATAAGTTAATCGGAGTTCCCGGAAGGAGGTCCCACCATTTACTTGACTCTTAGAACCTTTGTTGGTTTTGGGCAACGGGGATCAACTTCCAGGACAGGAAAGGGCGATCCATCTATTTATTTGACTGACCCTAGAAAACGAGAAAGAGTCCTAGAGATAGACCCCTTTGTTTTGCACCGAGAAGATATCAATAGAATCGTCTTATACTAGATGAAGAGGTACCCCGGAAAGCAGGAATATAGGAGGCGCAGGCCTGCCATTAGAAGAAACCAAAGGTAATTACTTCATCTTTGAATAGGTAGCCCGGTTAACCAGACAACCTGGAGGGACTTCCAGCCATACAGGAAAGGAAAGACCTGGGACCAGTACTCCCCAACTTGGGAACTCGGCTTATAGCGAAGGGGGAGGAGCCGCTTTTTATGCGACACTACTATGGCGAAGAATGAACCGAGACTCTGTTTTTTTGAGATTTCCTCCGGGTTTCTGCTTCATTCAAGTCTTAATTCAAGTAAGGACAAGTCCTTATCATCCCGATCGGGATAGATGGCCTGCCTCGCTGCGGGTCAGCACCTCGGGCTCTCTTTCTGCTTTCTGTCTACAAGCTACAAGCGGAAGGCGGAAAATGTTCAAGTCAAATAGCCTGCGAATGGATGTTGAGATGGAGTCCTTACAGAGGTACTTTCTATTATCAGATGAGGCAGAACCAGAACCTGGGGATAAACCCCAAAGACTGACTGCGGGAGCAAGGATTGGATTGGAGACTGCATGACTTGATTCCTCTGATTGATAGAAATTCTCTCTTCTTTTTCATTCCACTCCTTGAGTCGAGTCCTCTCCTTTATCGAGGAACAATGCTCATCCTTTCCCTACTCTTACTCTACTGTAAGTGAGTGAGGAGTAGAAGGAAAGAAACCTATGTTTCCAAGCCTTATTGAATTGAGTGTTTTCGCACGATAAAGAGCTTACCTTCCGCAACTGCAATAACTAGACTTCCTTTTGACTGGCCTGAGCCTTTTCACAAGACCTTATATGTATGGGATGGTTACCCAGGCGTATAGGTTGGGAATGAAGCTTATCAATGACGATCAAAGAACTAAAGGTTCCTAGTCAACTTCACGTTAAAGAAAGCTTAGCTTATTCTCCCACTCTGGTTTTCACCAATGCATTAGCTTTTCTTTTACAAGATGTCCTGGACGCCCCTTTCTTCAAAAAAAATGAGATGCATTCCATTACGGATATTCTTCAAGTCATAGCTTTAGGTGCTCCTACGTTAGATTAGACGTATATGGATGAAACACTCGATACGGCCAGCGTATAGGCATAGCATAGCTTTCTTTACACGGGTGGCATGGAAATAAAGAAAAAATACCTTATAATAGGCGGTCCTCTCTACATACAGTCAAAAAAAGAAGCTTTCTTACTGATGAACACCAACCGGTCTACCAGGAGCAAAGAGCTTATCTCAAGAGTCCCAGTACTATCGGGAAGAATTTCTCATTCCCACCCACCAACAGGCATGAGTCGTAATTTGAGCCTTGAATCCTCCATAAGGACTCGAAAATTAAAATAGCATTTTTAGATTGGATAAAGAGAAAAGGGAATTTTGGACTGACTGAACACTGGATCAAGCTCCCTCTCAGAGATAGATAGTATAACCAATTACTCGAGTTCGAGAATAGGGATCTCTTATCATCAGTTCCTAGAGAGTAGTGCTTTATTTTAATTCAAGCCGGTAACCTGATCGACCTAAGATGCTACTTTCAAATGGGCGATGTGAAAGCTCTGACTTCTGTCTCCTAAGTAAGTTAGTTGATCCAGACCGCCCAAAGGTCCTCATAGTGCTGCATTCTGAGGTAGTATGATAGTTTTAGCTGCTTCCTTTACTTTCGCAGTTGCCGCGAAGGTTGAAAAAAAGACCAACGAATTTAAATTATATCTAAACATGAAAGATTAGAAAATAAAATAGGATACCATGGAGGGTAAAAACCACGCTTGAAAGTGCAGTGCGTTAAGTATGCCACTTCATTTATACTTTTCTACTGCAAGCAAGAGTTGTCGAGTATTATGGTACCAACGTACGGCTTTCGATATGATGTATCGTTCTCATAAGATTCAATATAGATCACTTTTTTTACCAAAAAGGAATTGCCTTACCTAGCTCTGACGCTACCGACTCCGCCTTTGCTATTGGTATCTCAGCTGGTGCTGCTGCTAATGCTGGATCTACTACAGGCTCTTCCATTTGTGGTGCTGGTGCATAGGTAGGTTGTGCCGGTGAAATGGTGGCCCACTTCTGCTTTCTTAGTGGAATCTATTTTGAGAGTCCCAACACTTTCATCAACCGAATCTACTTCTACTGAATCCACTGCTGAGAACCGAATTGCCTTCTTTCTCATCCCGTTCCGATCACTCAACTCCGAATCTGAACAGAATTCGGCTCTGCAGATCGCAACATGGTCAGCATATCTTTAGCACGAGCAGCTCCAGGTCCGGAACTAGTAGACCCAGAAGATGTTGAGTCAGTTGGGTTCAATCGATTCTGTTGATTCTGCAGACGGTGACCCCTGCTGCGGTAGGACATACCGAAGTAATAGGAACAACCTAAACAAGAGGGGCTTATCGACTCGACTCCCCCTGCCTTATCAAGGACTTCCCAACTTACCCAGCGGAATAAAAGAAAAAAGGGCAAGGTTATGTAATAGGTCACTTCCATCAACAACTAAAGCTATTTCTTACTGGTGTGGATTCTCCACAAGTACGTCAAAGGATGGGATTGTTCCACAAACTCCAATCAGTAAACTACCATCCATGAGCGGATACCTTCGAGTTATCGGCCAACACGATGTAATTGAAAGGGAGCTCGTCCACTCTTTCATCCGCGGATGCTACTTTTCGTCCGCCACTCAGATTGACTTCTATGGATGGGATTCATGTTCATTAGTTTTTCGTTTTCCGGGATCCATCTCCACCAACTATGATAAGGAAATGCCGTTGGTGAACTAGGTTCCCGATAGCTAACTTTCCCGCACCTGAAAGCAACTCCGCCAACCTGCCGATGAGAAGGGTTACTACAAGTGGTGTGATGAGATATGTATTTAAACTTGGTTGATCATCGAGAAAGATATCCAAAAGGCTAAAGGAAGAACCAGTCACTTTATGGATAAATAGGATAGGAAGATCTCGACGTAAAGCTGGCACAACTCCGTGAAACTCGGGTCAGATAGATGAACTATCACCACCCTTCGGTACTGGCTTCCTTGAAGGGTTTTGCACTCTCAAAAAGAAGTCATTTGATTCTGAAGTTCGTCTAGTGTGCGCCCGAGCGGCAAGAGAGGCGTGATAAGTGGAATCAGCTGTCGTAGCCCTTACAAAGAAGACCGACCGATCGATGACGCCATGCGTTCCTAATACGAATTCGTGCCTGCAGCCCTGCTAATCGACAGTTAGAATCATATCCTTCTAGGGCACCTAGTTCAAAGAGGGGCAGTAGACTTGACTTGACACCTTCCTAATCCTGATTTCAGGTCTAGGCGAAGAAATAATATTTTTTCTTGTTTTCGTTGGCATGCGATTATCATATTTCATTTCTTGTTATGGCCTTTTCAAGCTTTTCTTCTTAGGCACCCTTGCCAAAGCGACTTTTCGGTCAATTTTTTCTGTCTGGTCTCGAAGTAATCTACTCGAGTTCGTCGTAGGAATATCTTTCTCCTTCCAAGACTTCAGAGAAGAGTCCCGGCGGGAGCAAACGAGACGAGTAAAATAAGCTTCTTCCTTGCCCCCGAACTGGTGGAATGGAATTAATTACTTGGGAAGGGCTTTATGGGTGCTTGGCTTTAATATGATGAGAAGAAGAGCACGGAGACTTTAAATAAAAGAAGATGCCCAAGGCTTTCCGGGCCAAAGAGTGATCTTTGAAGGTTTTATTTCAAACTTACTAATAGTCTAGTTAAGGTAGGTTTGGGTATAGCAGGACTTGAACCTGCGACCATTAGGTTAAAAGCCCAATGCTCTACCAACTGAGCTATACACCCCCCAAAAAAAAGAAAGATAGGGCGGAAAGAAAGAAAAAAAACGTCATATCCTTACCTTAACTTAAAGATATGTGTTGATCGATGGCCACCTCTACATGAATAGCTTCAACCCGGTTACAATCCCTCCTTATCTACGATAAACAAAGAAGGACAGTAGGGAATTTGATTGAAATAACTCTCCTACGAGTAGAGAGTAGTCATTCGATTGCCATCAATATAATAAGCCTTTTCTTTAATCTTTTCTCCTCTCATCCTTCCGATCGATCCACTTGACACGAAAAAGACTACTCTGGATTCCCACGATTGGCCGAAATCAGCAACCTCATAGATCTGGGCATCCGTCCACTGTCAACCATTCATCACCACTATTCTGGGTTGCGCACCTTCCCGAAAAACCAGCTAAAACAAGCTTTCTTCGTTCGTACATCTGTTACAGAAGTGGAAGGATCTGTTGGTAGTTTGCTCTTGCGTCAGAAGGTATACGCGGATTCGGGTTTGTTTCCTAAGTAGAAGGGCATGGAGCTTGTGATTCCCTTGCGATCTTGTCTTCTTACTATAGAAGGATCAGTGCACGGATCAGGGTTTCTTACTCGAAAAAATAGGCTAATGCAATGCCTCAAAGTAAACATTTAAACATTGAATGAATGCCCGGGCCTTTAGATTACTTAGTAAGAGCAGGAAGATGGGCGGGGCGCGCTGCTCTTCTTGCTTTAGTCAATCAATGCAGGAACCTTTCTTCGCTTAGTAGCACTACTCTTCTTATAGAGGTTAGGTTAGGGCTGAGCGCGACTATTGTAGTTATTCAACAGCGGATCACCGCCTAGCTTAAGGCTGTCTTCTTTCTATATGATAAATATAAATAGATAAATGAATATAGAGAAGTGCAAGAAAAGAAGAAGAAGCGAGGAATCTCTGAAGGCATTCAAGAATATGATAAGCGAATGCCACTAAACCACAGATTTTTAGATTAGTAGCTTCGGCTTACGTCGTAGGTTGGATTCCAGGAACAAGTCTGTTCTCATTTTTTGTCTTACCCCGTGGAAAATAGAGTTATTGCCGTAGCTATCTTCTTCCATCCTATGGTTGCTTTATATCAATTCCCCGAGTTCGCCAAGCCAAGTCCCACATCGGACTATGAAAAAGCATCCTACTAATGGCAATGAGCTTCCGATCGATGGAAACTTGTAGTCTGCTCTTGTGTGCTGGCTGCTGAGCCGAGAATCCGCGAAAGGAAAATGCTGATCTTTTCTTTTATGATAATTCCAGTGAAAGGTCGGCATCGTTCCCTAACAGAGAGGAATACAGCGGATCTTGCGACACAACGGATTATGCGACAACTAGGTAACAACCGATTGTGCCCCTCTCCTTACAGTCGAGTATATTCTAACCTCTCCTTGAGTTTAAACTTTTTAAGCGAGCCAGCTATCGCTATCGCATCCTTTAACCGTCGCTTATTATCCCTAGGAATATAAGCACTTTGAATCTATTCATCACAAGAAACTGCTTGGCAAGATGGGAGCGATGGAAAAGCTCATAGCTTCATATGAGTTTAATCAAGTCCGAAGTTATGGCCTTTAAAGAGTAAGGGGACGTATCGGGATTCTAAACCACAAAGCGGGAGGTTTGACTGGCGCTTTATCGCCTGCTATCGCCCCATTTCCCCAGACGCAAGGTGTAAGTCGTTAGGTCTTCTCTTCCTGGGGCCCCTGCTAGACCAAAGGGAGGGTGAGAGTGCTTCCGTTTCCCTTAACCGATCATTAAAGAGCGAGCTGGAGGTAGAGCCCAAGAATCCTATCTTTTTTGTTGAGTGGAAGTAGGAATGGAGTGGCTCATGCCAGACCGGAGAGATCATACTTATCGGCTAGCTCAATCGCAAATTGGGCATCCCCATGATATATTCAGCCAGCTTGTTTGCTCAGCCTCTTGCAGACCCTCGGGACTCGACATTCTTATAGGATTCCATTTCGTCTCCACAAGTTAGCCTGCAAGGCCCAATCAAAGCAGTTCGTCCCCCTTCTCGACGTTCCCGGAGGGTGGCTCTTCACTTGATGTTCACTATTCGTTGGTCTTGGCACTAACAATGGGACAGACTTTCACTTCGACTTAGTCCTCAGCTCGTGAATCTGGCTATCTAAATATATCCGGATTCCTTTCTGATGCGCCTTATGTTTCCAAAAGGTAAGACTTTCCCCTTCCTTTGACGGTACGTGGGTGTTAGCCTTTAGGATATAACTAAATCGATGCGGTTCGTCCCCTTCCTCCAGCGCTTCTGGATGACCCTTCGTACCCGTATTCAGAATTCTACCTCCAGTGTATCAAAAACCTTCTCCGAAAAGCTTTACGAATCAGACAGGGCTTCATTCCTCTCCCTTCGGTCGAGTATATTGCATTCCTCTCCCTTCGCCCTTCGGGCTCATAATAAACCTTCGGTCGAGCATATTTGACCCCTTCGGTCGAGCATATTGCATAACCTCTCCTTATACGCTCTAAAAAGGGATTCTGGACTCCTTTTTTGTTTAGGACCCCCCCTTAATCGACATTACGATATGTGTATCCGGGAAGAGTTGTTTGGAAGCCTAGATCGGGGTACGGAGTTTTCTCTATTTTGGAAGAAAAGAAGCGGCTTGAATGAGTGAATTACTAAAGACATTTACTATTCAGTCCAAATTAGGGAGTTGCTCTCGTCTGTGCATCGGGGAAAGCTTTCGTGAGCCTTTTTGTGCATTGCTTTCGGACTTGGCCGAGAATGAGAGCTTTTGAGTGGACATAGTAGTCCTTGCCCCTACAGCCCAGGAGTTGCATTCTTTAATTGCCCGACCCTCCTCGGAGGGGTTAGTTGCCAGCCCCGAGTGCCCTTGATCCTTGGAATTTCCTTTTGGTGTCTACTTCCGCTACTGTCATGATTTAGATTCTAATCTCTTATCTAGCGGTGCCATGGGGACTACGATAGACCGATGCCAAGCAAAGCAATGCTACCCGAAGATTCAAATGAATAGCTATCGATGAAAGATCCCGCCTACTTCATTTGAATGGTTTTCTTAGAACCAATGGGAGACTTGCATCTCCGGCGACTCAGATATGGGACTTCCGTCAAAGCTTCCTGGTCGTAGCGAAGGCGAAATAGACCAGCCTATCTACTTAAGAGGGAACGACGGCCCCTGGACCATGGGGGACTACCGGTTCTTGCTCTGGATGCTGCTACCGAAAGATGGTAAGGACAGGATGGAGGAGAGATTTAACGGTCGTATCAAAGTGGGACATTTCGAGAGAATAAAAGGGTTATATCATTTCATGGCGGATCGGTGAATTATTGGGCCGAGCTGGATTTAAACCAGTGTAGACATATTGCCAACGAATTTACAGTCCGTCCCTATTAACCGCTCGGGCATCGACCCAGGAAGAATCAATTACAGACTTATTAATAATCCAGGACAACTTCCTTTCGTAATACCCTACCCCCAGGGATTTACTCACCCCCACCGCTACTCAACCAGCTGGCTTAGAGAGTTGGCGCTTCAAGCCAGATAGACTGGAATGGGAATCAAAGCAATGAGTTGATCACCAGATCCGGGTACCGCAGGTTTCGGTCCTTCATCCGATTAACTTTAGACTAGAATTGACTGGACATAACCGAACGAAGCATTAGATATAGAATCTATCGCTGCTGCTCTCAGCTGTGCATCTTAGAATAAATATATATGTATATTCTTTTCTTAGTCGCTTTAGAGTTGTGTTATTACCTTCTATCGCCGCAGCTCTCCGCTCAAGCAAGCCGGAGCCCTTCTATTGCTCCATTGAGCTCAGCTTTTGTGACTGAGCAAGACCCAAGGTTCATGGCAAAAGCTTGTAGACAATGGCCTTGCCAATCTCTAAGAAGGCCCCCCGCCGCAGCATGATTAGTGGACTGTATCACGGAGCCATCGGTATTAATCGTAATCCAGGTCGGTTCCGGGGCTTGCCAGTATATGAGCTCTTCTCGACGCTGGGGTTGAGTCACTCGTGAACTACTAACTTCCGCCTCCCAGGTTTTCAGGATAATAGCACACCAATTCCTCTCCCTATCGGTCGAGTGACTTTCTTCCTCTCCCTTCGCCCTTCGGTCGAACTCTCCCCCTCTCCTTTCAGTCGAGCATATTGATAACCTCTCCTTTCATTCGAGCATATTGATAACCTCTCCTTTCAGTCGAGCATATTGATAACCTCTCCTCTCACTTTCTTCGAGCTTCTTTCTCTCCTTCTTGTTCTAATTAAAATGCGAGCAACTTCGCACCTTCTCCCTACGGTCGAACATATTCCCCTCCTCTCCTTTCAGTCGAGCAACTTCGCACCTTCTCCCTACGGTCGAACATATGATAAACCTTCGGGCTCACTACTTCGTTCCTTCGCCCTTCGGGCTCATAATAAACCTTCGGTCGAGCATATTGTATAACCTCTCCCGGTGACTTCTTTTATTTTCAGGGTATCCATATTCTATTTAAGAGCCCGTGTGGGATCTTTCCCATCTATGGCTAATTAATTAGGCTATTAAGCCTTTTTCCGGTGCAAGTCAAGGTCGGACTTCGGGTTCTTTCCCTCAAAAATAAAAAGAATTGAACTCTACGGAATTTCACTACTTCTCATCTCCTTCCCTTTTCCTTGCCCTTGAATCTTTCTATCCTTCGCTCCCCGGTACCGCTTTCCTTCGATCGAATACCGGCTTTCTCCCCTTAGCCTATGGATCTGCCTTCCCTTTCGTCAGCGTTAGTTACTTTCTAAGCCATCTAAGAAGAGGACTAGCTTTCCATTCCGAAAGCATTCCAAACCCTACCGTTGTTGTAAGGAAGGCTTACTGTGGTTGTTACAAGGGAATAGCTTTCCGGTTGTCTGCTAGCCTGTGTAATAGTAATAGCCCCCGGGGCTGATTAATTAGGTTAAGGAAAATATGAGGCGACCTCATTAAAGAAAACATTCAAGGATGGATACATTGAGTCTCTTGGATTTCACGTCATAGCATCTATACCCAGACTGAGCATATCCAAGAAAGACACAAGTGGTTTCCTTGGGGACAATTTTTCTCTTAACTGCGCAGGAATATGAAAACAAAACACGTGCATCCAAACACTCGCAAATGCTATAGGATGGACCCAGTAAGAAGTTCGTGAGGTGCCGCTGCAGCTTATTCCCTCTCTCTGCCCCCCCAAAAAAAGGAGAAAGATGTCCCGTCCCTTCTTTATGCACATCCGACACAAAGGTGTACAATCCGGTCAAAGTCTGCGGTTCTTTAAGTTCATTCACTGTAGGTTCTCTTACTTGCTCTAGTGGCTGGCAAAGGCCAACCGAGAGGGGAGAACGAATGGCTCAGGAATCGACTGGTTCCGAGCGGACTTGTGGAGCAGCTGCTTGGATTATCGTAGAATAAGAGGAGCCGCCTTAGGAAATGACTTAACTTACTTCAAAGAAAAGACAGATGCCGCCGCTGCGAGGCGAAGGAGGAACTTGTCTGGTCTTGCGGTGCACTCACTCCCGTTACGAGAATGAAATGACGCCCCCCAGCTCGACTCGAGACCAAGACTCCTTACAACTCGCACCAATAGCGGCACTGAACGGCCGGAGATTGATTGAAAAGGCTTTAAGCCCGCCGTGATTGTGATCAAGAGCACACACTGCACCTGACCCACTAATCATCATCTCATCTGACGCGAAGCAAAAAGAAGGGGGAACCCTTCCTTCCCAGCCCAGCTGCCCCTCTCCCCCTAGCCGCCTACCTACTCGTGCTCGTAGCTCGATTGGGGGTCAAGAGTGTGGTCCGGCGGAAAAACAGAAGTCGTCCGTATCAAGTGATACGTGAATTGCTCAGTAGTGCTTCGCCACTACCGTAGCTGGCGGAAATAGCTTAATGGTAGAGCATAGCCTTGCCAAGGCTGAGGTTGAGGGTTCAAGTCCCTCCTTCCGCTCTTGGCTTCGTCGTTTAGTGATAACGAGTGGAGTAGGCAGCGAGTAGAGTGCATAAGCCCCTTAACGAGATAGAGGCGAAAAGCAAGCAGCCGCGAAGAATAGGGTTTCCAACCTTTCTTACTAATAATAAGTAATAAGAAAGGGGCAAGCCAAAACCAAAACCTACTCTTAACAGCTGGCTTTTCCGCCGTTGCGCGCTAGCCTTTTCCCTTACTAGTAAAGGTGCTGCAAGTAGTAGCGCGCAGTGTACTAGTAAATAGGAAAAGCGGATTGAGATTACTAATGACGGGTGGAGGTTGAGGATAGAACATGTTCGGTGCCTCGCCCTTGTCTCCTTCGCCGGAGACTAAAAATGATGGGAATTCTATCGATAAAGAAGAAGCATAGGCATCGCCTCTCGATCCAATCCGTCTTCCCTGGCCTCCCCAACACACTCTTGATACGAAAAAAACCTCCCACCATAGAGAAGAAATCGAAAGTATAGGTCCCCTCGATCACCCTTTCCTTTGAACCTGAACTGGTCGAGAGAGATGAACCCGCACCACATTTTCTAACCTTCGAACCGAAAACCCCAACTAGAGATGGAATTCCAGAACCTAAACAACTCAGTTGAGAGCTCCGTGACCGTTCAAGGGAAGGTCCACCAATGATTGATAGGCCATTCCCCCTTATCCGTCTCTTGATCCCTCATTCCACTAATCCGTTGTTACTGATTCATTCAAGGTTTTTTTAAACGCACTTCTTTGTCTTATTAGCGCAGGTGTTCGTCAACGATGAAAGCCGCTGAACTTAAGACTCGAGTTGAGAAAGAGGGCTAGGCTAGGCCCAGGAGAGGAGGGTTTTCCGGGACTGGGGAAGACGGGTGGATTATAGAGCTAGGGGCGGATCGAAGGTTTGTCCATTGGGATTGGGCATGGACGAGCCTCGACTGGGCCAGCATTGTGAAATAAAAAAAAAAAAAAACTTCTCCCATCGCGTCATTAACCGGTGTAGGATTAAAGATCAGGTCCAGGATTCGAGTAAAATCGACCTTCCCTCTCATCCCAGGGTTTGGCAAGGAATTCAATCAAATGTTCGTTCGTTGTTCAATATCTCGGCTGCTCAAGAAGTTGGACTAGCTTAGCTGCTCCTCCGACCCGGAGTGGATTCTAGGGGAAGGGCAGAGCCTCACCTTGCAGTAGGAAGGTCTTCGTTGCTGGGACGGGTTCAAACTGGACTTAAGGGAGGAGGAATTAAATACTCCGATCTTATTGGGGATTCATCACTGGCTAGGGCTTTCGAATCAAAGCATGGGCATCCGCAACTACGAGGGAGCAGTAGATCGTCGATTGACGAGCCGGGTCAGTCAACTTCTATTGATTATTGATTCGACTAGAGGGGCTCCTAGCAGCAAACTTCTAGGAAGGGCCCCACGGAAACGCAGGAGATGCAGGAACGAAGTCACTCGACCGAAGGAACGAAGTTGCTCGATTGAAAGGAGAGGAGGGGAATATGTGAGCCCGAAGGTTTATCATATGTTCGACCGTAGGGAGAAGGTGCAAAGTTGCTCGCATTTTAATTAGAACAAGAAGGAGAGGAGGGGAATATGTTCGACCGTAGGGAGAAGGGCGAAGGTTTATTATGAGCCCGTAGGGCGACGGTTTATTATGAGCTCGTAGGGCAAAGGAACGAAGTTGCTCGCATTTTAATTAGAACAAGAAGGAGAGGGAGGGAATATATGAGCCCGAAGGTTTAGAATATGTTCGACCGAAGGAACAAAGTTGCTCGCATTTTAATTAAAACAAGAAGGAGAGGAGGGGAATATATGAGCCCGAAGGGCGAAGGGAGAAGGGAGAGGAGTGAATGCCAGCCGGATCGACCAATAAATGGGCCAGAGGGAGGGGCTCATTCGACTAATCAGAGATCCCAGGCCTGGCCCTACGCCCTACCTAACACAGAGATGTCCCTAAAAAAATAGGGGATTGGTTGATCGGAAAGCTCAGGCAGGAGGAGGTGAATCGAAATCTTTCTGATCCGCTAGCTCTAAAATTTCTTCATCGACAGGTAGGGTTTGGTTTTGTCTAAGGTTCCTTCTTCCGGTTGTAAAGCTACAGAAGCCATTCTCCCTGCTCCACCAGCAGTCCGCGTTTTTGACCCGAAAGGAATTTCAAATGAAAGCAAAATATGTGTTCACTATCTACGGAGTGGAGTGACTATCTATCCTTAATCCCCTCTTCCCTATCTCCCCCTTTTTCCTTTCCTTTTTAAATCCTTTTTGTAAGGGCGGGAGAATTCATTTCTTTTCTTGTATTGTTTATTTTGATTGATCTGTAATTCAAGGGCACTCTTCCTAATTCGAGTTTGAGATGGAATAAGACCCAGACGTAGAGTCCCGTCGGCCGGGAAGGGATTTTTTCTATTCATTTTTTTTACTCCCTTCTGGCCTTCGAGGGAAAGCCCTTTCCAGATGGAGTAGTGCATCTCTGTCTTGAGAGCCCGCCCTATAGATAGGAACTCCTATCTCTACTGCCTATCCAACCCGAAGACTCTTTTTCGTGATGGAGTGCTTCGAATAGGATCCGATCCCTCCTTCCTGACCCGGCTTACCTGCCTCTGAAGCTGGAATGCCTTTCGTGGAGGAGGCTACCCGAGGAATCTAAAAATGGGAAGTGGGATGTGGAATGTGATTGGTGATGGATGGTGGTTATGAAATAAGTTCTGCATCAGGTGATGAGCCCATGCGAAAACTTTCTCTTTTATTGGCGCCCGATAGGTAGGCTATTAGATTGAGTCGAAAGCCTACCAACGCATAAAGGAAAGGTTCCGATTCGAGCGAGAGCCCAAACGGGGGAGGCGAGAACATCTTGATCGAAAGCTCTACTGTTCTGAATAGTGAGAAAGAGTTTTAAAAATTCGATCAATCGAGTTGGGCTGGGCGTCCATGTCACAGAACCTTTCTTCTAGCCAAGAATCCCATTATTGATCTTTTCGGGGCGGACCCAATTCATTGGTAAATTCAAAATCTACCCGTTTTAACACTCAGAAAAAACCTAGAATAGCGCCAGGCGAGGCAAGGGGCTCTCCATCTCTAGGAAGATTGTGTCCAGGATCTGGTAATCTAAGCCTTGCTTCTTCTGGTCGGCTCGTATTAGTCTGTGCTTTATTACAGGTAGTCATTCCCCCCGTTCCTTTAGACTTTTCAACGGTACTTTAATCTTAAGTCGCGGTCATGTCTCGCCTCCCCAGTATAGTGACCGGTTACATGTTTTCCCCGAATTTCATCAGTTCCAGGCTCAAGTGCCTGCTCATCCATCTTCATTCCAAAGGCGAACATTTCCATTGAAGTGAGTGTAACTGCTATGGTTTACAGTCAATAGTTCTTAACCAACCCTTTCTCGCGGAGCTTTAGAAAGCTTTAAGAGAGAATAGGGAGTAAGGGGGACCTTCGCTTCATTAAAAATTTTAACCGGACCTTCTTTCTTCTCCTGCTGCTGATTTGGCCCTGCGCTGATTCAGGAGCTTCTTCTTTAGTCTAGGATTCTAAATAATAATCAAATCAAAAGAAAAGGCTGGGCGAGAACAAGAAGCGGTCGTCGTCCGGCGGCCGGTAGCTCTACTGAGCGAAAAACCGCTCGCTGCCTTTTCTTCGCGAATAAGATGTGCAGGTAGCCTAGGAGAAGAGAAGCAAGTTACCTTCCCTACCTCCCATCTATATCTATAGGCGGCAATGGTAAGAGCTGGTAAGCATGGTAACTGTATCGGCTTCGGGGGCCGGCGCTCCGCGTTCTATGACGGTTCCGTTCTTACGTACGCCCCCCTCACATAGAAGAGGGGGAAGCCCTTCAATAGAAGAACCCGTGTGAGTGGGAGGAGATTGAATCATTCATTCATCGGATACGTCTTCTTCCGTGATCCATTTCATGTCAACTCTAATTAGTTATCACTAAGCCTACTGGTGGACGCGGAGCCAACGAGTGAAGTCGAAGAGCGTAACGAGTCTAAGATTAAAGAAGCGTTCTAAACTTTGATAGGTATAGCATTGCTAGCAAATAGAGCAGAGAGCTTACCGTTTCTTTCTATTCTATTAGAGTCGCGAGCTTGTTGTAGTCGGTCCTAAAGTAAAGGGAGAACCTTGCTGCTTACTTGCTATATCCCTGCCTTCTTGCACGGCTCGTTCTTCGAGCCCATTATCTCCTCTCCCTTACGGTCGAGCATATTGTATAACCTTTCCCCCTCTCTCCGTTCTATCGTCCAAAACAGGCCATATGGAGTATAGCCAAGTGGTAAGGCATCGGTTTTTGGTACCGGCATGCAAAGGTTCGAATCCTTTTACTCCAGATTATGAACACCCGATCGGATCTGTCAAGAACGATCTGACGACTACAGGGGAAGCGGCTGACCGTTGGTCACCCTGAGCCTAGCTTGTAGCAAGCCAAAACTTTTACTTGAACCTACTTTGCTAAGATAAAATAAAGAGGGGATAGACAGACGGCAGAAAGCAATCCCTTCCAACCAGCTAACCGGCGGAGTTGAACACAACACTGACTTCGGCCAGGTTCTTCTATCAATCTCCTGGCCCTTGCTTAACTCCTTGCTCCGTAAACCGGTCACTGGTTGATCTGATCGGACCCCTTTTGACTGCCATGGCTACCCCCTCACTCGACATAGGCTCCAAGTAGTATAGTCTGTCACGTAATCTACCCGCGCCAATCAGCTTCTTCGAGAGTAAGTCCTGTATCACACAGAAGTCCCAAAAAAACATTAGCACACAATTATGATCCTTTGCTAGCTTGCTAACTGAAAGCAAATTGCAATTGAAATAAGGTATATTTAGCACATTCTCCAGCCTCAATTTATCTGAAAGTCGCACTTTTCCTGTGCCAAGAACAGAAAGTCTCTCCCCGTTTGGTATCCTGACAGGTGCTTTGTCAATATCGAATTCCTGTTCCTCAAGCAATTCATTATTTGAAGCGATATGGTCTGTGGTTCCAAAATAGATTATCCAAGAGTCAGAATCATGTTCTGTCTTACCAGCCATGTTAACCTGGTGAGTTGAATTCGAATTCTGATTTGTTGGTGCAGCACTCCCCGTGTTGAGGAATTGAACGAGACGCTGAAGTTGTTCGCTTGTAAGCCCCAGGGACGGGACTTTCTGCCGATTCGACTTGAGCTGCTCTCGGCGCCCCCTTCTTCTTATTCGACTGGTTGCCTTTCTCCTTCCTTTGTTCAGTTCGATTGCCTTTTACTCGCCTTCGGATAACCTATAACTTAAAAGAAATTTTCCTTCGCTCTTCTCCCTTCGCCCGCTTTTCGGGCTCACATATTCTAAACCTTTGTGTGTGATTTGTTTTACCACACACGCTGCACTTTTGATTGCCGCTCTCCTGCGTCCTTTTCATCACGAGTGCTGGTCTTTCTTGTTTGGAACGCTGCTGCCTCAGCTACTGGCTGAACATTCGCTGTGATGACCCTTTGCTGCTCATCTTCGGTCACCATGTGATACGCCTGCCCCAAAGTAGGAGTAGGTTTCATGCTTAATACTTAATATATGCTCTATGGCTCTTAAGCCTGGCAAAAGCCTCATCCAAACCCATGAGAAATTAATAGAGCATCTCTTTCTCTCGGATTTCCGCCAATCGCTTTTGCACCCCGCACGTACAACCTTCACACGTACATGTTGGCAAAGGATTGATGGACGGAAGAGCTATCGAATGCCCTGCTGGGAGTTAGGGGAAACCCCTTGTTAGGACAAAGAAGCTATTGGGTCTCCCTTGGTTTGCTAGAATAGACTCTTATATGGGAAGAATGCCCCCATTTCAGTCTATTGGGACCTAGAGAAGATACAACCTTTACTTTCTTTCCTAAGCTTGAATATGGCTAAAAGCAGGGGAAGAGTTCCAGCAAAGCGATTGATTTAGTTGAGACCGATAGATAGAGTACGGGACGGGACCAATACTAAGAGAGGTGATCTCGAACATCACTTACGCTATTTTTTTTGAGCGTCACTCTTTTATAGAAATATCATAGATAGAGAGCGCTTAGAAGTGTCTTCATTTGATTGCTTTCACCGGGGCTTGTGCTTCTCGTGTCCTATGCGCTTAGTCTTCCGTCTCTCTTTGGGTAGGCGGCGGAGACAGCTTTAGAACTCTTTCAGTTCCTTCCGTTGACTGAGAGCTTTACCCACGGGTTCTACCCTATTTGGTAGTAGGTACCCCCAAGAAAAAAGTCTATTGGTATGGGATAGAGACTCTTCCATGAATGGTCTGATCTTTTTAGGCCTTTCTCTTCTATTAAAGATGACGCGACATTGGTACTTAGACCCATCTACTGCTTTGGCTACTGGGCCTAGCCTTCTCTTCTGTAGCCCACCTTTCCGGGGCTTTCCTCCGAGAATAAGCTTTTGTCATGTGCGGTTGGAGGCTATGTCAGTCTTTGATTAATGGGAGCTTTGGGTATCGCTTTATATGTCCCAATCAACGATGTTTCAACATAGACCCTACTCCCCAAATAGGGGGGGAAGAGTTCTCAACTGCAAGCGCGCCCACAACTCCGAGCAAGGCAAGAGTTATAGCATCTTAGCCATCGGTTGCTTCCGCTCCTCTCCTTTAGAGTCGAGTTGCCCTCGCTCCAGCGAACTACCCTTCGAGCTTTCCTTCGTCTCCCTCTCCCTATCGGTCGAGTGACTTCGTTCCTCTCCCTGGATGACAAGTTAAAGAAATTGGGAGGACATATGCAATGAGTTCAACAATAAGGATAGTTACAACATCGAGGTAGATGTAACCAAGCGTGACTTAGAAAGCACCAAGCTGCAACCTAACCGAGACCTTCTCTGAGTACATTACCAGATGGAGGAAAAGGGCATCCCAAATGACAACCAGACCCCTGGAGGGGGGCAACTGGAAATGATAGTGAAAAACCTCTTGCCAGAGTATCAAAAGCATATGTATGCCCCATACCTACCCGACTTCAAAGCTATCATAGAGATCGGGTAGAGAGTTGAGGTCAAAAATTTTGATTAATCCGTATTTCGACAAGCCAAATAGAACCTGTAGTAAGCATGAATAGTTTGATGTCGCTGTTGAATCAAAAAGACATCTTTAAATAACTTCTAATAAAGGAGTACCCTTAGGGGCATGCTCTCCAATTCACATGATGAGTATCAATTCAAGTACCACCAAATCAGCATTCTCCCTATTCTTTTTTATTTTTTGCATTACTGCCAATCAGTATAGTTCCAAGCCTTCTCATTCCATTGTGCCCTAGGATTCATTCGTATCTTATTTGGAATTCGCCAGAGCGATAGTTCTTCGAAAGACGTGAACCACGAGTGGTGATGGTGGCTGGTTCATCTTCAAGGCAGGCGAGAAGGCATAAAGAATCGGCCCACCTTTCCATATCGAGGACCAGCTCTTCCACACCGAGAAACCTTACCGAGATACCATCATGTTAGTCAAGTTTTCATATTCTTTGTTACTAAAGCGTTGATAGCTCTTTTCTTTAAAGCTTATGTCGTAGAAGCTGACATCCGGCTATTGGCGTTTGTCTTATCTGCATCTTCTCGACCAAGACCCGGAAGGGGTTCGCTTTGTTTGGGATGAACTCGCAAGGACTCGACCCGAGGACTTCCCCTGTAGAGTGGCGTCTTTTATAAGACTCGAGTCTCTCAGTGGAACTAATATACTCGAACAAAAGCAATTAAAAGGGGCAAAAGAAGGTTTCTAGTTGTTATC